AGTGACTGAGTCCGCCGGCCGAGGTCAATAACCCTCGAGAGTTGAAATCTGGGGAAGCCTTAAGGGGTCCGTTGTCCCGGCGATACTTCACGCGGGAAGTATCGTCGGATTTTGACCGCGCGTTCGCGCACTTTTCTCTTAAGTGAATGGTCGGGCATCTCGGGCATGAGGCATCAACAAAAGGTTGTTGAGCGGTGCTCGTTGCGATGGACAACTTTGATGATTCCGCAACAAGTGACTGTATCGGCAGAAGCAGCAGCCGTGCAGAAAACAGAAGGAGGCCTCATTCATCGTCCGATGTTGTTACGGCGGACGACGACGTCGTCTTTGCCGCCTCGACTACGTTGCTGAAACAACACCCAAAGGACGCCAGCCAACACCGCGACGACTGCACCGGATGCCTCCACGACGATGTTGGTGGTGGTGGCGGCAGCGACGGCGGCGGCAGCGACGACGGCGATGAAGTCGAGGATGATGATAATGAAGACAGCGGAAGCGGACAGTGATCGCCGACTCCTCCAGCCCGAGAATCCCCCTTCCGTTCCCTCACCGCTCCTCAGAGCTGATCCAAATACTCAACAATTAGCCGACTTATGGTCGCCAGCGTCAGAGAGGCAATCGACACGGACTCATAGTCTGGCGGCTAGTCACCCTGCTATCCAAATGATGTTTTTGGTGAACGAGTAGTGAGGACGACAGTCGCCACTGATTGGAGACGACTACGACGTGATTTTTTTCGAAAATACTCTCAGCAACGGCGCCGCCGCAACAAACGTCGCTAACAACGGCACCGCTTCTACGAGCGAGCGAGCGAGCGAGCGCACCGACCCACCGGCCGGCGGACTAGCCACCAGACGTCGGAACGGACCTCGGAATGAGCAGATGCTGAGGAATACGCTTTGACGTCGACAACAGAAGCGCCGGAATTTCGGATGACTAACCGCTCGGTGTCTTTCGCTTTGTTTCTGAAACTTTGCCCAGCTGAATTCGGCCGGTCGAGCGGCCTACGATCAGCTGCGCGGACGGCATCACCCTCCTGGCCTGATCCTCCGTGGAACGCTGTCAGACCTACTACTCAGGCAGCTCAGTAGTTCCCCGGTCGCTTTTGCGGTCGGATGAACGATGCCGGTATAATTCCATCAAATGCTTTCACAATAGCGAGTGTGATTAGGGAGATGTCGGAGCGATGACCGAGGCGCAGTCTTGTCAATTCGTTTCCTAGAGGGAGCGATTAGCGATTTCGTCAGCCCTCATCGTCCGTTTGCGTTTCACCTGAATTGAGGCGACGCTCTAGAATGCTCATTTCTCGATTTACTGTCTCTCCGGTATCGCTCTAAGGGTCGCAATGGTGATCTCCGGAGAAATCTACCGACTGATATTAGAAGATTCAGAGCACGCCGCGCCAAAGCATGAAGATTTACACGGACCACACGGAGGTGCTATCGTACGGGAAATCGCTGCTCCGAACAGCTGCTCCCCGCGAAAACGTTGAGGGAAGCCCGCGGGAAACCTACGGGAACTCCGCGGAAATCCTACGGACATACTGCGGAATTTTTTTCGGGACCCCGAGGACTCCTCTCGAAATCCGGGAGGACCCGATGGGGACCTCGCGAAATTCTTCCGCGAATGCGGCGAGACCTTTGTCGAAGTTCCAATTGTTCCCGAACAAACGCGGCTCGGATCCTCCAGGCTATTTCCGAGCGAACTCCGGTGCTGGATTCCGAGCGATGATCCCCCGGGGTATCTAGGGTCGAGGCTTCGTGGTGAGAATCTTCATTTAAGCCCAGTCAGAGCCTATGAAGACGAAGCCCAGCCTCGGAATGTTGGTTATCCAGGCGATAAACGGATAAAAAGTCAGATCGGGGGAATCAGGCATACGGGGACGATACCACTCGATTCTTCGGGATCGCGATGATGGAAGACGGTGACTCGGGAAACGTTTACTCGTTACCGCACTTCATCGATGCTCCGGATATTCATCTTCGGGATCCCGATGCGACAATCCCCCTCGACTAATTGCGAGAAAATGCGACTCCAGATTTTCCAAAGGCCACGACATTGAAACCATTACGATCTTGCGGAGCGAGGTGAACGCCGCCAACTCGCCACGCACGTAAGGCGCACTCGGGAACCAAATGTTCGCTTGAGGGAATAAATGACTGACAGACAAGTCACGATCCGTCTCCAGGGGAAAGCAAAGCTCTGTGAAAAATTTATTCCGAAAGAGCGTGAGTTCACTCATTCAATTCGTGTTATCACCTTGTGCCGCCTTGAGTCAGAAATCCCTGTCACTCAGTCTATGAGTGAGATGTGAATTCACAATCGGTCAACGAAACTGTGCGGAATATCCGAATTTTTTCGTCCGAAACGCTCGGGACATGTTTCTGGACGAGCGGGAATCGAATGGAACCGAAGGCTCCCTCGCTGGCTACATGTGCCGCGGGTTCTCATTGGGAACCATCAAACTGAAACAACATTCGACTAGACAGAATGTTTGCACTGGGCAGGATTGGGTCGTGGAATATTGTGTAGAATCCGTTCTGTATTCGGTGCGCAAGGTCCGGGAAGTTGCTAGGCTTGGACGAGTCGAGTAAGACCGAGAAGGAATTTCCCTAGTCGACGAGCCGGCTATTCCGCGGGGGTTTGAGGTTTCTCGATGGGGTCCCCGGAGTTCCGACCAACTCTGCGAGCTGATCGATCTGTGATCGGTGTTTGACTGACTGACAGGCGGACCGACCGACTGACTGTCTCTCCCTCGTCAACACAACGATTGGGATGAAAGTTTTTCGAATGTTTAGAATCCCTCTCGGAGGGGAGCATGCAGATCGACCAGAGTACGCTGATCTCCTCGAAGAAATCAGTATCCAGATACGGCTGTAACGGAAAGTTCTACCGAGAGACGCTGGCGAGACAAGGTACGGCATCATTTGTGGAAAAACTCGGAAGTCAATCGGGAAGCCAATCGGAATCTCTCGAAATGATACACACGATGATAAGGAATCAATTGTCTCGTGGAACTCGTGGTGATCTTGGGTTTCATTCGTGGATAGTCGTCTGGCGTCACGATGTCCACCGCGTTGTCTCGAGACGTCAGAACAGTCAACTTCTCGACGTGTTTTGAATTTCCAGCCAAGGAAAAAATTGCCCGTCTTTCTCTCTGCTGTAAGGTTGTTTGTCTACCGTCTCGGTCGCCTTGAATGTTCGCGTGCTGCCGAGGACAGCAGCAACAGCGTGTGGTTTACTGGCAGTGGAAGCCAGTTGTCGCAACGCGGTATCTTCGAGCACACATCTTCGACAATGCCATCAAAGCGAGCAAACGTTTCATGATCGACATTCCAACGCCGAACTCGGAAGGCCAAGATTATAGACAACTTCTCAACGACTGAACCCTAGCCCCGAAATCGAGTTCCAACAAGTTCCTGCATTCGGACAGAGGGGCAGCCGACATCTCTCGAGTTCCGGCCGAGCTCGAGTCCCGGGTATACGCTGGTCGGATTCTTCGAGCATGGAAATCTTTCACTCCTCAGGATAGCGAGCAGGGTGTTCATCTGTTCATCTAATAAGCGTCTCGGCTGTTTGATGAATGTGTCGCTTCCTTACCTGAGGCAGGGGGTCCCCATCGCGTTCTATTGTTGCTTACGCTGCTGCTTTCCCCCCGGATAGAGCAGCAGCCCAGACGAGTATACGCGCACAACTATACAAAACGAACACACACGCTAACACACACTACGAAAGCCTCGGAGTACAGAATCGCAGTCCACAATCATTCGATTACAGAACTCCTCAACACTTGTTGCCTTCGGACGGCTCTCGGCAGCGGGAGCTTCACTCTGAAGGACTTCGTTCGCAGCGGCTGCTCACTCGTTTCTGGCTGCTGCGGCCGATGATGCTTCTTGTTGCTGGCTGGCTGGCTGGCTGGCTAGCTAGCTAGTGAGCTGTGCGGTGAGCGAATGAGTGAGTGAGTTAGTGGTCGGTCTGGCTGCCTGCCTGGCTAGCTGGTGCTGCTCGACGATGCGGCTGAGTGATGCTCGCTGCTGCCGCCGTCGCTTGTCTCTCCTGCACAACTGCACACCCTTCGTGGCTGTTGTTGTTGCTGTTGTCGTCGTCGTCGTCTCGGAGGAGTTCCCCTCGTAAACAGACCGCCGCGCTGTCGTCGCCGCCGCCGCCTCACAACGAATCAGGCAACCTTCCCGTCAAAGAGTGTCTGGAGCTGGGATCCCTCTGGAGCACATCGCTCGGGATCGGCTCTCGGAAAAACCGGAAATTTCATCGATTTTCATTCCGCGGCCCTCGCTGATCCATGGATCCGAGCACCATTGCGACGAGAAAGATAGATTCACACAACCACAGGCCGATCCGGGGCGCGGCCAGAGTGTTCAGTCGGCGTGAAAATCGGCCTCCGCGGGGTTTTCCTTTCTGGCTATCCCAATGATCAAGAGTACAGCCAGTCTGTGTTGGGAGTCTCCTTTGAGGACTTTTCGGGGATATGGAAGCGGTGAAATGCAGCAAAATCGGAGTCTATCATTGGAGGCTGAGAAACGGTACTCGAGGAACGCAGACGACTCTCCACCAGAGAGAACTCTTTAACCCTCCTCGACGGTGGAGAGGGCCAGTTTCGGGAAAATAAACAGATGGAGCCGACATTCAATAGAAAGAACGCTCAGAAACACATGTAGAAAGTCATTTCCAGTCAACTCTACGAGGAAATTCCATAGAATGAAAACGCGGCTGGATGGAGAGACTGAAGCGAGCGAATCCATCCGAAAAAAACCATAAGCTGCCACAACATCGATGACCGTCTCGACAGAACGTTCAAATAACAAGTCCCGCGCGGCTCGCTGGTTGTTGTCGTTGTGACGGTGCGGTGAAACTCAGAAGCTGCCAGCCGGTTGCCCGACCACCGGGATATTTGCGAGATTCGCGTTTCCTCCAATTGGATTGGAGTTTTTTAATCCCTGTTTCTGCGTTGAAGGATTCATCGCAAACACCCTTGACGAGCGATGGAGAAGCAAAGAGTCAACGATGCTGTCGTCAAGTTAGGGAATCTCATAATCAAAGCGCGCGTTTTCGTTGCACATAGGCTGTCTTCGCGGATCCGGGCATTCAGAGCGAGAAATAATGAAAAGTTCAAGGGACGGATCGATCGCTTGCTCGCAGAACTACCGTGAGTCAAGAGCCACACCTGGGGCTCTTCTGTTTCTGCTTATCGCTCCTTTCCTTTCGATTTATTGATACTTACCGAGTAGGTACTTCGTGAGTTCCAGAAAACCCCTGCAACGCTCAGGAGCTCAGAGGAAGTTGAAACGAACTGGACGCGTGATCTGACACGAGTATTCTTATTGGCAGTTATCTCAAAACCCTATCGAAATCAGGAACGAGGAAAGCAACCGCGCGGAGAATGTTATTGAATACAGAGGACCCCATGAGCAAGATCGAATGCGAATCAACCTCTCCTGACGACCGCGCTTTCTTCAGACTCTGCAAGTAAGCTCACGCAGCGGGAGAGCTCTCCCCCGGGAAAAAAAATTCGATCAAGACTGTATCGTCTGTTCAAGTCCCGATTCAGGCAATAATGGGGGGCGACTTCCCGCTTCAGGACGCAATTCATCGAGCGGTTCATCTCAGAGTTCAGAGAAGCGAATGTCGATTGGAAATATTGGGTACCACCGTTGTTAGCGATGTGGGAGAAGAAGGTTGGTATGAAGAGGACTCGATTGAACGGAGAAAATGTGAGTAAGGTAGGCGTCAGGAAATCCGAGAGCCATACATCCTTCGCATATCGAGATGATATTCCTGAGTATATTCAAAACAGTGATGGATCTCCGTGATGCACGTCCAATGTATCCACCTCCCCTTGCAGTGGAAGCGCCAGGCCATGCCGCTCGCTGGGAACGAAGCGAGAGATGCCGAGACCGACGACATCAAAGGTTTGAATCCATTCCCTCCCAGGCTCTTGGTCCCCAAGTATGATGATGTCATATCAATTCCCCGTCCGGTGCATCAACATATGCTTTCTGTTGGCAGGCATCGGGGCTTCTGGCAAGCGAGACAAAGGAACCAAGGGGGACCTCACGCTCGTTGACAAGGTCCGTGTGGAAAATGCCGCGTATGCTGGAGAATTCTTTAGGTTTCGAGCTGAAAAGCTTGAGCATTCGGTTCATCGCTTATTTCAGGCGAAGAGAAAAAGCAGGAGAGCGGGCGATAAATTCGTGAAAGAATTCATCACGAAGCCGGGCGACCTTCATGGTCGAGATTCCGCATCCGACTCCGCAGATTCGACTGATGCTCACAAAACCAAAAGTGGATCAGGTTCGAGTGCGGATAGCGGAGAAGACTATCGGAGCGAAGATAGAAATAAGAACGAATCGGGCCCTCGATTTTCGAAGAGCAAGAGCGCGAGCGCGGGGCGATCCGATCCCCATCGGATTTTTTCCCACGATGAAAAAGAAGGGTCATCTAGCCCCGAAGTTTGTCAAGTCCCGTTCCGACCCTATGCTCCGAAGTACTTCGTTGGCAGCAGCGGAGGCGAGGATTCGAGTGAAGCCGATGGTGGATGTGAAGGTACGAATACAATCAGGGATGGCGACGCGGATGACGATGAGAAGATGGGTTTGTCGGATAGTGAAAACGAGGAGGGAGAAGAGGAGAGCGAAGGCTCTGAGAGCGAAGATGGCGAAGACGAATCCGCAGACGATGAGGTCCCGGCGCCTAAGAAGAAGGGTCCTGATCGAGATCTGTCCATCGAAGAACTCGAGGAGGATGCGGAAGATAGCGCCGATGGCGGAGCTTCTAGTCAAGACGAGGAGGGAAACACCGGGGGCAGTGACGATGAGGACGAGGATTCGGAAGGAAGCGGGGAAGACATGAACGACAGCGATCACGAGAGGGCTTTCGAAGCGAGGATAGAGAAAAAGTTTAAATCGAATGGGTCCAGGACATCGTTGAAAGCTCCAGGTGGGTATCTATGAGCAACCTTCGGTTCGTCGAGCGCAGTAGAAGGTGGTTGACCTCGTTTCTTCTCAATTGAAGTAACCACCTATGAGCCCGAGTCCTCTGAGGAGGAGTTCCCTTCGACGAGCAAAGCGGCCAATCATGGTAGAAACGACAAGGACGTCGACGGAGACAACGAAGAGGATGACGCTCGCGCGGCTTCATTTTTCTTGAGGAAGGGGGAAAAACCTGTCGACGTCGAACCGCGAACCGTGCCGAAGGAACAGGCGCCTAATTTGAACAGACGTCAGAGGAGAGGTCACGAAAGGGATCGAAGTTTCAATACTGCTCCTCAAGACGGTGACGCAGGTTTGTTGACACCGTTCAGATATTCTTAGGGGTCCTCATCCCGATCTCTCTCATCTCAACCCGTAAATTTGGTCTCGATGAATTCCTTCTGGCCAGGAAGAATCTCGAATCGTCTCTCGTTCCCCCCAGGATCCGAACCCAAGTCGAACCTAACCTTCGGGAGAGATTTCCGACCGAGGAGAAGTTCTCAACCCCGAGATCGACATAATAATCCAGGGAGTGAGTTTTCCCTCCTATGCTATTCCGCTTGGAGGTCTTGTAAGGACCCTTTATTTTGATTTTTTTTCAATACTTGCCTGATGAAAGACCTTGATTGCAGGGGAGAAACACTTCGAACGCGGGCTGTCCGGACCGCGTCGGCCTCCGTACGGGGGTTTCTCTCGAGATCCTCAGACAGGCAAGGAACCGAGAGCTTCGCTGCCGGTGAGCTCCTGTCGCTCTTCGTTGAACAGCGATCGGAGGAAATCCAGCAACTTCACTCAAGACGCGAATCGGGGAACCCGGCCTCGAGATAACGCTCCCGAAAGACAAAGACGGCAGAGTTCCTACGCCGAGGGGCGCTTCAAAGAGAAAGCGAATAGATTTTCCGAGCCTTCAACAGGACTCCCAGATCGCGATTGGAAGCAGCAGTCTAGACCATCCGATTCCAGCTCGGATCCTCCGCGGAAACGTTTGAAAGAGGTGAGTTGACTCCGTGCAAAGTGTTCCTGTAGCTATGTCTCGATTCGGCTTCCGTCGGCAATTGCGCTAATATTTATTTCGCTTCAGGCATCGAGTAGACCTGGAACCGAGGAGAAGATGCACCCTTCTTGGGTGGCGAAGAAGAAACTGAACGCCTCATTGAGTCAACCATTCCAAGGAAAGAAAATAATTTTCGACGACTGATTCCGTGCTTGACTTTCGAATGGGTATCGTCTGCGTGAATGAGTTCTCCCACAGCCGTAAACTTGTTTCTAGCGAATCATTGGGAAGTTCCAGTTAGGAACTTGAGTGAGAGCCACTACCCTGGGGGAATAACGATAGCTGAACTCATACAGCCAATAGATATCGAATAAATAATCTTGTGAACTGGGACGCTCTGTCACCGGAGATGGGAAACTGTCCGCACTATGGAGTCCGGAGTAGATTGGGGATGAGGTGACTCCACATGGGGCGAGCCAGGGATTCGAAGGAATGATAGAACTTATTCTGAAAGTTACTTCTCTCCATTTATTTTGTTAATAAATAACAAAATAGACATGGTATGTGTAAATACTCTCTCTTTCCCCGTCTTACAATTCAAGAGTTGTCCCCTCAAATTCTTTCGGGATAACTCTCCCCACGAACTCGATTTCGTCACGCTCCCACACTCAAACACACGCGCACTCACACGCGTCCGGACTATCACGCATCGATTTTCGAGTCACGCCAACCGTGACGCATATAACAACGGAATCCTTGACAAAAACCTCGAGCGACAAGAGAGAGATGAGAGGCTTCGAATCCCTCGGGGAATCCTTCCGAAGGATCCGATCGCGCCGAGTTCCATTTTGCTTCACGGCATCTCTCCCGTGGATACAGAGCCCATCGGAATGTTTACGGCCTTTGTTTTGAGAGAGATGAAATCACTCCGAAACCTGTGTCCATCTTTTCTATTAGCGATGTGCGGACATCTTTCGTCCCCTCTACCAGTTTTGAAATCTCGCGAATGCATCCTGTCTTCCTGAACATCAGCTCTGGAGCAGGATCGGGCCCTCCGAGACGGTTCTTTTTGGAGTCCCTATAAATCTCGAATACACGGCTGCTAGGTACAGTGTGATCTCCTAGGAGTTCAATAACTTCGTTCACCTGCGCGTAATCCTCTTTCTCATCGAGAGAATAGCTCGCCTCGCTATCAAATGCCTCTCTCTCTCCTTGACTATCCGTGTATGTCCTCGACAACCGGGAAATCGCGTAACAACCGCCGGCGGTTTATTTCCTTAACACCACTAAAATGACCGTAAAGCTTGTCATGGATTCGCTGTCGAAAACCGAACGGCCTGAATCAATGACATCATTCAGGTAGAAACTGCTTTTCCTCGACTGGTGAGTGATCATAGCCGGGGAGCACGATTCGAAAACAAGATATCAACTCGTTGAAAGATCTAGGAGGGGCAAGCAGATGACTTCCTGTTGGATTTCTGAATTTCGACAACCGGTGTCGTTCGGATTTCTGTCTCACTGGAACGGCGACCGACTCAACACCAAGAGAAGAATGGCGCGCTCTGTTGGAAACTTTGAGTGAAATGAGTTCCGTCGTTTACACCTTTGACTCTTCCGTATTGACCTTTGCGCTCCACGATGACCGCCGGTGTTTGCACCAACTGCAGCGGCGATCGGTCGTCCTTCAAAGCCTGGACGAGATTCAGAACCTGGAACGAAAATCAGACGACTGAATGCTTGCGGACTGGGCGCCAGACTGAATCGGACCTCAACGCTCCGCGAGGGATATCTCGTAGTATTCGTAGAGAGAACGTTCCGATTCGCCTAAATAATTGATCGATTCGAATGTCCCACTGACCTGTCCTCGGAGCACACTCATCTGCTTTTCGAAAATCTGACGATCGAAACCCGGATCGTGTCTAAACAATTGATAGAGTTCGTCGCAAATTTCTTGAACGAATGTTTGGTCCGAAAGCTGAGGGAGTACGAGGTCTTTGGTTTCCTGGGAGAATGGTAGCTTGGCCTGAGGCAGCCAAGCCCAGTGGTAGGGATATGCGCGCCAGGAGTCCGGATGTTTGAACGGGAAAGCCAGCCCGTTGTCGATAGCAGCGATTTTGACCTCGGCTACTTTGGGGGCCCAAGTCTGGAGAAAGAATTAAAATAAGACTCAAATGATTTGAACCGAGGAATGGATGGAAGGATGGGGGAAGCACTGGGATCTAACGACTTCCAGACAGCCGGTGCGAAGCACGAAATCAACCGACGCTTCGACAGAAACTAAAAAGAGACGCAAAACTACAGCGTGCAATAGGTGCGCGGAAAGCACTGCGATGGCAGAGGGAGATCTCCCTCGAGGGGGAATGATGGTCGACAGATCTCCATGAGGACGTCCATAGCTAGAATAATCGCTATCCTAACTGAACAATGAATAATGCAACCGAGAAAAATGATGGGCATTCGGTACAAGGCACAATGATTCCATCGATCGCGTGATCGCTATCCCCATACACAAGTCGAAGGCCACCACGCCAACCAGCACACATGGCGGTGCTTCTCAATCGTAGAACGCATTCATAATGTTCAACTCCTTTCACGGAAAGCTCTCCATCCACCACTCGGATGTTTGGAATCTGACGACCTAGAGGGGCTTCGTGTTGCTTACCACAGTATCCTCAATCGGGAGCACGCTCTGCCAGACCGAAAAAAAGAGGATAAGACCCGATAAGAAGACGAATGGAATGTTCTCAGAGCGGAAATACTAATAAGCGACGGCTCCCGCGAGCTCCTTAATCCTTTATCGAAGCCCGCCATATGATTGAGGAATACGAGTAGCTGCTTCTAAGAGTTGCGGACGCCTTAACTTCGTTTTAGGATCGGACTCGATGTTCTAGCTCCGTGTATCGACCTACTTCGAATCAGAAAAATCGCTCAGACTGCTCTACGACTGGCAGGAATCATATACATCGTTTCTTAATCGTCTCTTAAGTCCTCTGTCCCTCCTGCGCGGAGCTGGCGCGCTCCGACGGATATTGCAGGTGGGAGGACTATCCTCCTGCTTCCGCATAAAGAGGAATGTTCCGATAGGATTCAAGTCTCGAACAGAATAATATCCGCGAGATCAGCCGGGTAGGGTCAGCCGGTGGACAGCATTTTTGTATAATGCGAGGAATCTCGCTCCGACGTTCCTTCATGGCACTCCCTCAATTAGCTCTGGTACAAGAGGCAAGCGAGGGGAATTCGACGAAATGCTCACTTACCTCAGGCTCTTTGTCCGGTCTGACGCATTTTATGAGCCAGTTGTCGTTGCCTCGATCTAGAGAGGAGATTCAAGGTTTTATCTTAATCCGCGGGACTCCGCATCACGATTTGGACAGTCTGGAACGACTAGTTCCCGAACGAATATCCTCGATACTAACCTGTGTTCCTAATAATATAATCGAGGATGACTAGTCTCTCGAACTGTAGCTGGAATGCTTTCTGCATCGCCTCCGGTAGGGGGTCTTGTTCCCACTTCCTGAGCCATTCCTCCGCATCTTGGTAACCTTTCACATAAACTTGGAATGATCCGTTTTTCGGCGGCAGGCCGATCCGATTGAATCGCCGACCAACTTTCGGGAACCTGAATCAATTTCAGAATCATTCATAAACTTGTCCCGCTCCTACATTGAGGGGGAGATACTTCTCGGACGAGCAAAACAATAGGCAGAACCGCGTCCTTACCTGTCACTAACGCTTTGCTTGGTCTTGCTTTTCGCTCTATCGATCGCTGTATAATTGAAAGTATCACTGACGAGAGCGACTACTCGCGTTTTCGGAACAATGTTCAATTGAAGTCGTTGATCCACCAACGAGGCGCCCGCCTCGGAGAGATATCCCTGATTAGGCACCAAACAGCTACGCCCGAAGCAACATGGGCAGCAGACCTGCGCGAGGAAAGAGACGGTCAGCGCTCTCTTTTTTTTCAGCGTTTCCTCGTTCTCTTTCGAGTTTCCCGAAAGCATCGCTTGAATGGGATTCTCCCCCGCTCTGCCCCGAGTGATCCCTCACAAGTTTCGAGAAAACCCCTCATACCTTATGCATCCATTTTGTCCATTTAGGATTGAGACGGCCATAGGGTTCTTCATCTTTTGGCTTGAACACACCGATTCGCTGTGATGAAGTAAAATTAAGCTCACTGTCATTCATTCAAGTTGATATCGGGATTGAATTTCGTTTTTCCCGGCTCAGATCTCGCCACGCGGCCCAGCTTGTTCCAGACACAGCTGCTGTCTACTCCTTCGGGATGCGACGCAGCTGAGTCATCGGAACGATTCCAAGGAAGAATCTGTTTTGAGCACGATCGCACGCCAAGAGTCTCGGAGAAATACTCGGGCAGAAGAAATCGAGAAGCGAAGTCTCTCCTCGGAAGTCTAGAATGTCTGATTGGATATTCATCATTACCTCCTATCAGGGCCTGTGAGGTGCCCACGATAACGATAGAGTCTTACCTCCTGCTGCACGCTCTTCACGTAGTAACTGCCTGAACTTCCTTGGTATATTCTCTCGGGCATGATCCCATTCTCGATAGCCGATTCCGCATCGTGGATGAGGGCTGCGAACTCTGGGTCGTCCTGATACGTCTCTGCGAAGTCCAACGAATCGTCCCCCATTCGCTTCAGCAGCGGTTGATTTTCCTGATCAAGAGATGGACATGGAATGAGTATTCGTCAGATGCTACGGGAGTGTCTTATTCCGCGTATCCAGAGTTCGTTGGAGGAGGCACGGATCTGAGCACAATAATACAAACGTCGAGATAGCGGACGTGCGGTCTCACACCACCACTGGTCTCCGTAGGAACAAATCAGCTGTTCTACTGCGCACCATTTTGGAATGAGCAAGTCGACAAATTCAATCGATCGTATCGCTGACTTCCGGAGCCACATTTTTGAATGCATTGACGAATAAAGACATTCTCTACTTTCCGTCCCAGACAGTTTGCAAATGAACACCAGCGATCCGATCAGGCTTTCCCGGAATTCTCCGGCGAGATGACTCACTGCGTCACACCATGGACAATGCCGCCAGCAAGCGGAAAACCGCTCCCGGGAAATAATTTCAGCGCGCTGGGATCCGGGCTCGATCCTGAATCACACTCATCTCTCCGAACAAAGCCTCGATATTTTTCTGTTTTGACAGGGTCGAAAATGCTCTCTCGCCAAGGAACGAAAATTCACCCGAGCGGACGCGAAAGCGGATTGCCGGCAGACAGATCGGAGAGGTGAGCCGTCTGGTCTGACGTAGACATTTGTCAATTCCAGCTCGGCCTGGAACGCGACCGGCGGCACACGAGAGGGCAAGAGGGAAACTCAACAGTCCTCCGATCGGACCTTGTGCGTCAGCCAGACTGTTGCTCTGTTCAACGACCCACAGCTCGCAATGGTCTCTGAGTGACGTGTTTGCATGCTCGATCGACGTGGAGCAGGCGCCCTTGAATTTGGTGCGCTCCGTTTCCCGAGAGGGAGAGTATATTTCTCAACCGAGAGAACGACTACCAGCATCTTCAATCGGTGTCAATGTCATCCTCCGCGAGATAGTCCCCCTCTGAGATAGACTAATGCAGCCAGCGCGCGAATGCGGCTTACGTACACGGAGATCTCCATGATTTGGTCCCACGAGATTGTTTTCATGTTACGACAGAATCGCGGGTGCCCTGAATTCTACCTCGGAATCGCCCCGAGAATCCGGGAAAGAGCTCCGGAAGCCGCGATCGTTCTCTGCGTGAGAAATGGATGAAGACCTTCTACTTCAGGATCCAAGTCCGCGTTTTCATTTCTCCGACTCACTCAGAAGAATCAAACACCGGAACGCTAGTCGATTCCCATCCGTGTCGACGTTGTCAGTGGTTCAGCTGTTCGACTAGACATCCGATGGGGAGAATTCCTCCGGACAACTCAATCGTGATCGCTCTTGAGCTCACCCAAAGAGCGCGGACAGAATGACGTCGATCTTTCGACCCGAGTCATCCGAACGGGAGCTTATCATCATAGGATAAGGACTCCTTTCATATCTAAGGGAGGAAAAACGCCGCTCTGTGGATAAACAGCATATTTTGTAGAGCTTCCACAGCGATACGGCTCATTGTCCAGGTGGACAGCCGGGAAACTCTTGGAGATGAACATGATGTGCGATACAACACCTACGCCCCCGCTCGTATGAGCCATATGAGCGGAAAACGACTTCGGAACTTTTTCAGGTATAAGAGGTCTTTGATCTATGGCCTAGCTCGACGCACTCCGTCAAAGTCAAGGGGAATTAAGATACGCGGTATCGAACGCAACTCAGCCTGAATTCCGGGAAATCATTGCTCGAGCGTTTTACTCGGTGAAACTCGCGACACAGGGTACTTCGTTAATACTTCACAATGAAAAGAGAAACGACGAGACAGCTCACGAATCACAGGGTGGATACATGACATATCTCTCGATTTGTAAGAATGCGTAGAAAATTCGAATATACCGTCTTTGCTGTCGCAACATCACAACTCGCCGAAAATCGAACTCGTTTCCGCTCGCTTTCCGAGATATCGTCTCCGATGACTCTCATGTTCATTTCGGGACAACTAGTCGTCGACAAGTTTCCCAGGACATCGACCTGCATAACGTTCGGGCGATAATTTCAAGGAGCGAAGATGCACCAAACAACGACCGAAGTACAGTACACGCAACACATCACGTCAGCAGCAGCAGTAATAACAAACAGCAATCAGATGGCTGCACAGTCTGGTGGCGATACGAATGCTCAACATGATATCGTTCGCAATCAGAGCAAGGGAAGGCGGCGAGAAGGTTTCGAGAACGCACATTCACTCCGACTGTACAGACACCTCATACAGTGGCGTACTCACTTTGGTGGAGAATGTGACGTCTGGTAGGAGACTGGTTGCTTCTGGATTGGTCGCGGTGCTGCTCAAACTGTTGTCATGTTCGTGCAGGAGATCCTGCTGATCTCCTGCAGCTTGTGTGTCGATCCGATCCATCCTATTGTCCGTCTAAGGGTGGGAATAACAGCGGAGAACAACTCTAAACAGCTCGAGGAAGCATCACTCTGTGAGACACCGTCGCGTGCTTCAAGATCTCTGCTTTAACTACTATTGCAGCAACGTCTATTGACGCTTTCTCACCACCACCTTCTCTGGTGGTTGCTGCAACTCGCCCTCCCCTACACAACTGTGATGATGAGTAACGGGTAGGCGCCAGCCATCGCGCAGACGATTCTGATGGATCAATGGTAGCCGCAGCCGCCCCGGAGAGCGACGGGACTAGCAGATGGGGAGCCCGGGTAATTCGAAAGAAAGCTCGTAATGAACTCGAGCCATCCGCGGACAGAAGGCATTCCCCTGAACGGCTTATTTTCCGAAGAGGGGACTCGAGAAGAGCGTCTCTACTTTTTTTTATCGAAGTCTGCTCCCATCTATGGGTTTGTTCACAATTCCGACTCGGTATTAGCGACAGGTCGACGCGTTTGGTGGTTGAGAAGCCAAATGATCTGGGTCGTCATCAAAACTCATTTACGACTGCCGGCTTCGATGCTTGAAGATTGTGTAGGCGGCGAAATTCATCAGGGGTAGGTCGCCCTCATATCATGAAGAACGCGTTCTCATTAGGTCCATCAAAAGCCGTGCGAACGCCGATCCTTCGGATATTTGGGGGTCGCCCACCAGGAACTCGGCTGCCCTCCTCTTAAGATCTGAAAGTGACGTGGAATCGGAAGTCCACATTACTTTGCGGGAATCATCGCTAGATCAGGAAATCGGCTTCGACTAACAATCTGCATTGAGAGTAAGGCGGAGGAACGTGTCCCGGATGTCGCTCCATTGCGCGAAGTCCCGGCTCGGAATCTCAGCGGAGGGCGGAGAATCATGGGGAACATTCGAAATTAGGTGAGAGCCCTGATGACCGGGGTCCCCCCCCCCGAGACCTCTAGATTCTCGGACCGTTCAAAAAGAATGAGCCCCATAGATTGGAACCAAGCTAGAAATAATCGCCCCATCGATCGGCGCACAGCATTCCGAGGAAGACTGAGAGGGGAGAGCTCAACGAAAAACTCTTCACGCGCACAGCTCTCGACCGAACAGAACTGGAGGATTTCTGCGACGCTAACTGCTTGCGAGGGACTCGTACGCGAGAGCTCGTTCCGAGAATTTCATTATTCGCGAGCCATCGCCTCTGTATAATATCCGGGCTGACCGGAGCAGAAAAAACATCTAGCCGACGTATAGCTCACGAAATTCCGCCGGAGAGCAGAATAGAGATCCTCCTCGCCGAGGATTGAGAGACTCTGATCGCGGGCTCTGATGAAACCGACCTCACTCTCACATCGGTGACTTTCCTGCTGAATGAGTCTGATGTCCGAACTGAGAAGCCTTACTCAAGACGCGAGTTAGGTCGACCACTAATTCCATTTCAAAGGCAGAGCCTTCTCAGATGGATTCTTCATCGGGGGAAAGGGACGAAAAATACCCTGTGGTACCGGAATGCCTCGGAGAGGAGGAATCTCTCGGAGCTTTCGGCATACGCCCCCACAATATATCCTGCAGATTCCAGATCGGTGTACGGGGGATCTACGGAGCCTCCCCGCGAGGAAGGCAGAGATCATCGTCTTTGAATCTTTTCTATGAGCAACGGTGTGGTGCTGGTGCGGCGAGGGGAGCGGCGCGCAGCGACAACAAGAGACACGTCGTCTGCTCGGAACGGCAGTGTGTTGTTGTGGGAACCTGGCCATCAAATCAGACCGATTATTTGAGGGAAATCTTTGCGCAGTGAGCCTCCTGATCGTTTATAATGCCCTCCGAGACGCTGGTAGATTGCTGACGGAGCCGCGGAAATTCTGGGACTGTCGGGCATCTTGGAAAGTGTGACCGAATTCGCTCAGAACCAACTTGCGGAGAGCCTTTCAAGAAGCTCGAGGTGGCGCCATGTCTTCGCCCAATAACAACAACAACGGGGAGTCCGATGCCGGTGAGACAAATATATCCTTGGAGGATGAAGTGAGTCTAGATGAGAAAACTAAAGACTCTGTCATCTCTCATGAGGACTCCCTTTCTTCGAAAATATCTGACAACCCTATGGAACTCCACGAGGGAGTCCTTGATTTTGAAGTCGATGCGTCCGAGATCCAGAAGAACGACGATACGAACGCGAAGTCCGGGATGTCAAGCGACAAAAAGGACGACGTGGCTGAACCAAGTGCTTGTGATGAAGAGAAGAACGACGATGACGGGGAGTTAGAGGACGGCGAGGATGATCTCCCAAGGAAGCCGAAAAACTCAGGTAGAAAGCAAAAAGAGCAAAAGAAGAGACAACAGTGATCTTGAGGATGGCGAAGTCACCGATTCGGACGATGAGGAAACAGTCAAAGTGGCGGTTCAGGAGGAGGAGCCCAGTACGAAAAGCCGCGACGAAAAAGCTCCCATCTGTCGCTTCTTCAGCAGGGGCCAATGCACTTGGGGCAATCAATGCCGCTTCGTTCATCCCGGTGGTATGGGACGAGGTCCCTCTCCGTTCTCCCACCAGGGGAGACCTTATGGCGGAGCACCTGCCCCATATCCTCCGCCAGGAGCTCCTTACTCCTCTGTACCGATGGCACCAGTGGAAAACGCTTGGGAGAGAGGTCTCCGGAACGCGAAACAATTATTGAAAGAAGCCAATCGACGTCGGGAAGAGGATCCGGCATTCGAAGACAGGAGACTCCATCAAGGGCTGCAGGAGTCTCCTCCGCGTGAAGTATCGTTGCGTCCTTCGCCCTCTCCGTCACCGCCACTCCGCAGCAAACTCTACGGAACATTCGATAAAAGTCGCGACGGACGGTCGGTCTCGCCGCTCAATGTGGACCGCTTGGACCGCTGGAAAGAAGAACGCCACGCAGCCGCAACCAGATCGCGCCAAGGACCGGGAGACAGCTGGAGGGATCCATGGATGAGATCCAAGTCGCCCGCCCGCAGACCGAAGCGCCGGAGCAGGAGCTCTTCCTCCAGAAGTTATTCTTCTTCAATTTCGTCTGCGAGCTCATATAGTTCATCGAGGAGCTCTTCGCCCTCAAGGTCTCGTTCCAGGGACCGGCGACGGGATCGGGGGGCACCGGCGACGAGAGGCTACCGTGGCGCGGGTCGCCAAAGATATCCATCCGAAAGGGGACGTTTGATGGCAAGTCCGTCCCCCACACGGTACAGATCCAGAGTCCCACCAGCGGCGGCCGGGATCGCGTCACAACCGCCTCCGGCACCGGTCGGTAGAGCTCGTAGAAGATCTTCGTCGTCGAGTTCCTCGTCGAGATCTCGTTCCAGATCCCCCCGGCGTCGAAGGTTCAGCCGATCCAGAACACCTGAAGGGATCCCGCGTAGACCCAGACAACCCTCAGTCGGTAGAGCCGTAGCTCCCCCGATCAAGATGAACCTTTTGGACAAATCTAAAAAACTGCCTACGAAGAGACCTTTCAGTGCGAGCCCTAGCCGATCTCCATCCCAGAGTCCTAAAAAAGTCAGAGTCTCACCTTCGCCTCCCCCACCGAGGTCGGTGGCACCTGTCGAGGTGAAAAAGAAGACCGAGAAGAAATCCGATGCTGCGAAACGTGAAGAGCTGATGAAACAATTAAAAGCTGTGGAGGATGCTATTGCTAAGAAAAAAGCTAGAGCATGAGTACATTATTTGTCGGCTGTAATTATCGACCCACGAGAAGAATAATCATCGCTACCACAATAGCAGAAACAACAAGAAGAACTGTACACTAAATACTAATAGACCCGTTCTCTTCTCTGAATCAAAGACAATAAAAGAGCTCTCTCTATGTTCTTTTTTATTGTAATTTGCCCAACTCCCCTCCCGGTCCGATCAGCCATGCGTCGCCGAACCAATCGAGAGGTCCTAAATCGTTGTCGGACGAGATCTGGGCTGACCAAGTCACAATCGTGAGTGGGAGCTAGCAGGGATTCTCTCTAAAATAGATCGAGTCGTGATTTCCCCTAGGCAGCGGCAGTAGGCGGTCGGACCCTCCAAGGTTATATGAACCAACGAGCATGTACATTGACACCAGACTACCGCTCATACATTTCTCAACCTCGATGACTCACCTCAGCTTTGTGTGTCGTGTCTTTATAGCACTTGTAGCGCATTCATCAGAGATCATCCGGCCGAAGAAAGTCGCTAGGGATACTTAGTATCTCCCGTCTGCGTTGATAGCAAGACCTATACTTCGAAAACCCCGGTATCACCGCGGAGGTGCTCCGGTGCGTCGTGGGGAGAGTCCGGCCCGACCTGCTTCATCCGTCGCGTCGGTGGCGAGGAGAGCTTCCTTCAAACGGGAACTCCATGGAGTTCTTCCGGGAAGCTGAGCGCTGATCCTCGCCGAATTCTCACGAAGCTCCAAGTCCTTGTGTTTCTTCCCGACCATGCTTCCAATCAGCCCTATTTAGCAATGGAATTACCCATGACAGATCCTCGTACAATCGTCGGTCATGTAAGCCCTCCATAGGGAAATAATTTGCTGGGTACGCGATTTAGCCGATCTCAGAACCGCTCTAGCATCAGCACTGACCTTACGGGCAAATCGCCCAGGCGCCCCCTTTCTCGCTACAGCGTTGGCTGTGGGGAAACTCGCGCTGACCTGAACGCAGCTCCCTCTCGATCATACGGAGGTCCGAGAGCGGATTCGCTCTCGAATCACAACTCCTTATCGAGCGTTCGTCTCTTGTTGCTTAATATCCGGTCGATCACGAGTCCGACCATCGATGGCACTCCGGACTCGAACGTCGCAGGTCATCCACGTTTTTTTCTCATTCGGTAGATCGAGTCGCATCGGTCTGCAGCCAGGTACAGGCTCATCAATTCCGACCCCCGAGCGAAGTAGGGCCCGGGTTTCTCATGGCGTGCTGTAGATAAAGGGGAATGATTCCTCTCCCCGGAGAGGCATTCGATTGGTGTGACCCTGAGAATTCCGGAGCTGGGAACATCACGAATTTCTCCGACTGGTCAATCGCGCCTGTGGTAAGGAAGTAGCGTCCATCCTCGTCTTTCTGTTGCCGCAGGCAAACTCCGTTTTGTGAGACTCCATTCAGACGTTTGAGTCGGGTCAACGATTCCGAACTCTGGGATGTATTCAAACGGAGTAACCCCAGTTCAAAGAGTCGAACGCAGACGTCCTAATAGCATCCGGCTTCCGTATCCGGTCTGGAGCAGCGACCGTGGATTCGATATATTTTCCTGCGTATCTTTTGAAAACTCTTGCAATCGATATCTCACCGTGCACGCAAGTTCACATTTGTTGAGCGGAGCGCGTGCCGCGGTGGCGAACCCGTTTCGCCCCGGCATTCTATAGTCGAATTAATAAAACGGCGGTGCTCTCGCGTCGACCACATGCCCGAGGCAGCAGAACCGCTGGGGAGCAGAGGAGAGTCTTAAACGCTCCGCTCGTTCACCGAATAAAGTGCTTGCCGGTCAACCTGTCCGTCCATCCGACCGTCCGTCGGTCCGACAAGCTGTCAGTTCGTCCGCCCTAGGCCAGTGAAACGACAACAAGCGAACTATTGTAAACGCTGGAACACTCCCTGGATTCATAGAGTTCGGCGAAGGGTAACCGACGCTTGGAAAGTGACACTTGTTGTCTTGTTGGATACCGCTAACTCCTCCTGTGTGCCGTGCGTGTGGATCCTTTCCCTTATTTCCCCCGTTTAGTATCGCTTGGTGATGTTTCCGTAACTCATTCGGTTTTCTGGACCTCCCAGTTTCTGGAGCTCTCGTGTCGTGGACGAACTGACATCGTTGTCCAGGAGCCGCAATCGTTCCGTCGTCCGAAAGGGAGAAAAATGTCACTTTTCCCCGAAACACGGCATTCGGGCCACCGACGAGGCCGCACGATGCGGAGATTCTGTTGAGCCCCATCAAGTTGTGAAATTCTCGCCCAGCGTCCCTTCAGCCAAAATGACAATATCGGTTATCAAGTGTACGCGGCTTCTATGAGGAGGCTGTCCACCGATGACGGTGTGATCGGTGACGAGCACAGGCTGTGATTGATTTCGGATTGATTCGATCGTCATATTGTGTGATCCATCCAGCGCAGAAAGAGGAACAACGCAAAAGCAGCTGCTCTAGCACCAGCATCGGAACGGAAGGGATTGGAAAATAAGAGGACCAGCAGGAGGAAAGGTCTCGTTGTCTTCTTTTCCCACCTTGGTCGAACCTCGCTGTCGTGCTCCTTCCGTCGTTGACCGTGCGGACTCATGCTTCAGCTTCGTTTCCCGTTAAATCTTGTAGGCTAAACCTATGTGCTCGAGAAACTGAATGCGCAGTGCGAATGGCCTGTCAGTGGGCGATAGGACTGGATCTCGCTGCTGGTGGAGTTCATCGCTCATGCCGGTGAGTCAAGTGACCGAGGCGCCAGAAGTGTTGATCTGTCGACTTCAGAAGCTTGACAGTCCGACAAGTCAGCCCCTAGCTCGGGAAATACTTACCTAGAGAATCGCTTCCCTCGGAGTAAACGCTCGCTCTCGTGAGGGTCTTCGCCCACGATGTGGAGCTCGGCGTAGGACACTTTTCCCTAAAACTCCGGGCATTGTGAAGCCGAGCCAACAACATTCTATCAAAAGTACTTTCTCAGTCCGGAATCTCAGAGCCATTGGACCATCCTTATACGTATCTGACAGCGCATGATTTTCTGCCGGGAAAGAACGGTGTGGAACCGAATTCAGATTTTCCAGAATACGTTTTCTTGCAGGCATTGCGCGAAATGCAGGCGCTTGTAATATTCCTATGCTATTTCTCGGCTTTCACTGCGCTTGCGTTTCTCGATCTCGAAGTCAACGCCTCTCATCAAGCGACGATCTCAAACAATCATGCTCCACCGCCTAACGATCTCGGGAACGAATCGACTCTAGACAAGGGCGCGAAACAGATGTTGGCAGCCTCTGCTGCCGCTCTCCCAGTCGTACCGGTGGTCATGTCTCCGAACGGGAACTCTCCTCCAAAGTAAGATTTCCCGCGCAAGACGAATATCTGCACGCTTTGCATCCGATTGAAACGCACCGACAAGCTTAGAGAATGACTAAAGCAAGAGCTCTTATGTCCCCTACCCGGAGGGAAATGCATGACAGCGAATGCCAGGGGAACGTTTGTTTCAGAAAGGCTCGAGACTGCACTTCAAGTCTTTGCACTTTTGGCGAAACCGTTCTGAACACTGCCAAGAGGTACAGATCCCCTTGCATGGCAATAGGCGCGGGTGCTGTTTCGAGCACGCCCCCATGCCTCTAATGCGATATTCGTGGCCGTTTTCAGGTTCGTCTACGTTCCGTTCCTGCGTCGCTTCGCGTGGGTTCTACACAACATTCGACCTTCTCAGGGTGCGACTACCACAACAGAGGCTCCTCCATCTGCATCGAGGCCTACTCGCAGACCAGACTCGATCCTCATCCCGGAATTAGAAGGCAATATCGATATCACCGGACCAGACGTCCACTTTCCTTTTCATCAGCTGGAAATCACACCTCCACCGAGTACCACGACGACCAAGCGTCCACCGCCGCATATCGCCGCCTATCCGCCATTCGCGGCAGTACCCACTACATCGACGACGCAGGCGAGGCCTATGGTGACTTATAAACCACCGGTGAGCAGCGCCAAATTCTCTAAGTCTCCCAGACTATCTGAGTCAATTTCGGTGTATCGTCTCTGCTTCGACCTCGTCGAGAAGAACAACACGTCTCTCGATCGTGAAATCGCTGCCCTAACGACCTTCCCCGGTTTCCCCGGAGCTCCCATCAGCAATCGACGATGATCGACTAGGCTGTGAGGGCGACAAGAAGCGATTCAGTGGCTTGGGTAGGAGAACGCGTCAGCTCGACAACTTAATTCCACTGTCCCTTCCTCAGGTTCCAACCCGATCACCCACGAAACGCGAATCGTGCGTCGTAGAGCCTCCATTCTGCCCGTCGTGCTTGTCGAAGCTCTCTCCATCGGAGCCCTGGTTCCCGTATCCTCCTCCCCTATTCATTCCGAATGCTTGTTCTCGTTGTGGTACTCTGCAGGTGATCCTAAATCGGATACCCGATGATATTACGATTTTCTCCGATATTCTCAAGCTCGCTTCCTTCGGAGAAATTATCGATTTCAACGAACTCCTCTCCGAATTCCAAGGTGGGATATTCAACGGAATTGTAGGACAAAGTATACAGGTGCCTCCTCCTCGGACCCCCGCATCGAAATGAAATATTCGAGCATTTTTCGAACACGGGTTCCAGGGCAAATCACGGTCCTGGCTCCGACGGACGCGGCTTTCGCCTACCTGCCGATTTCGATCGACGATCTGAAACAGCGACTCGTTCGCAATCCGAAGGACTTGCGCCGCTTCATTCTGTACCATTTACTTCCTGGTTTCGTGACATCACGGGATTTTAAGCTAGAATCGTGGATCGCAACATGTCTGTTCGAGAAGAGCATCTATGTGAACGCTGACAGGGTTCGTTTGAGCTGAGAGAATTCACAATTTTCCCGCTTCGATTACCTCATGCCCTAAATCCCGCCGGGATAAAGGAGCTCCCTCTTTTCCGAGTGACTGATTGAATAAAGCGTTCTCGGGGCTCCTACATCGATGATTCAAGTTTCACCATTGCAGGAATTGAATGGTGCGCGCATCGTTGGGCGCGACATAAGCTACAAATACGGCTCCATCCACACCCTGGGCAAGGTGCTCTACCCTGTCGCTGCGGATAGCGTTCAAGTTTTTTTGGACTCGAATCCCTTCCTCTCGGAATTCGCTTCATGGTATAGGAAATATGCCAGACTACCCAAGAAAGATATGGTCACGGTTTTCGCGCCAACGAACGCAGCTTTCGAACGGATCGCACCATCGATTCGGAAAAACTTGGCCAAGAACGAGGTTCTCAAAGCACGTGAGTTCCCACGGACGACCTTGTCTGGTCGAGAATCTGCCCTTCCCTCATCTGTAGAGGTGAAGTCTTGCTCATTTCTTCCCCCCCCCCCCGCCTTAGCGTTTCCCGCTTCTCCTCAATTTCTTCAGCTTTGTCTTCTGAAGAATCAAAGTTATATGTACATGAACTGGCAGGACGACCTGGGTATTCCAGGGGGTTGGGTATCGGGTTCGCGACTCTCACTCATACTAGGGTTCGATTGAGGCCGACTTGCTGACGGCAGCCTAACCCTCGCAGGGACCGAATATTCTCCTAGTAGGGTTCAGGTCACCTCACAATGTCATAATTTGTCAATTTTCACCCAACCTCAGCCTTCGTCAGTCTGAGAGTCGGGGATCTGATAGTCAGACATCTGAGACGGTATCATTCCAGGCACTGTTTTCAAGCATGTTGTCTCGGGGCTATGGTTCTCGTCGTCGATGCCGACGAGTGGGACAGTCCTCACACCCATGGACGGGGTGAGTGTAACTTGTATGACGGTCAAGTTCGAATACGATGATTCGAGTAAAAACAAGTTCAACCCATCTCAAAGCGCAGGTAAGCGGCATAAGATACTGGATCTAAGGCAGCGTTCATGGAATCAGGGAATAATCGAATGAGCTGAGTTCGAATCCTTCAATCTCGTTCCAGACAAGATCCTGACATTCGGCTCTAGCCGGGTCATTGCTTCGGATCTTTTCGCAATGAATGGAGTGGTGCACATCGTTGACAAAGTCAACACCGATCAATTGGAACTTTGCGGTTTTAGCTAGGCACTGCCGGATGAATACGGAGCCGGGCACAAAGCACCTGATAATCATGCGAATGGTACGCAGGATCACAATACAACACAAACCTTGGCAGGATCGAATCCTCAGGACTCAAGGCCATCTCTGCACTCTGTCTCGGAGCCGACGGCGAGAGCGTCGTTGGCATGGACAGGGTTCGTCGCCATATTCGCGTTGGGGTTCGCCCCCTGGGGGTCCCCCTTTCTGGATTCGTGCCTCCGAAAGAGCAATGCCTAAACTATGCGAAGTTCCTCATCAGAGATACGTATTTACCACGCCGACATCATCATCATCATCGACGGGAGCCGAATTCTGATTGAAGAGTAACAAATTCTATATGATGCGTCCCGACCAAACCCCAACTCATCTCCGAGTAGATAGGGGATCTAGTCTTGTCGGTCGTGACTTTCGTTGAAATGTTCGCATACGTTCCAGGATTCTTGTTCAGATTATGATTCAGTTACTATGGAGAAGCGTCATTGAGCCTCCTCTAGCTTAGTGCGACCTATTTATTGGCATGAGCCGAAAATGTCTTCGTTATCTGGCTGACTGCGAAGCGTAACGTGCATCAAACCTGCAGAAGTTGGAGACCACCGACCATTTTTTTCATACCTCAATTTTGAGCAGAATCGTCTTCTAGATGTAGATTGTTTCTCACTGGAGACCAAGAATAAACGCGCGGATCGTGACATTTTTATGGGCTCCTCGATGGCTTCGGGGAAAACAACTGAAATCCTTCGATGGAGCATGATGGAGAGGAAAGTTTGAGCGGAATCGAAGTGAGCGAGCGCACCGAAGTCAGTCTTGTCCGTTTAGGAAATAGTTTCAGCTTCCCCGAGAATCTGCTGGAAAGCTAGGAATCAGCCCAGATCAGGGCAGCTGTTTAAATTTCGGAGCGCCGGCTCGACTCAGAGAGTATGCGTAGGAAAAGCTGCCCATCGTCGTGGACATTGTTCCACAACGACCGCTGATATTGTTATGAATCACAATGAAAACGGAAACTAGAAGGAATATGCGTCAGGAGTGGTCTAATATTTCAATGTTGAGGGCGATTTGGGACACTGCGGCGACGAGAAGATTCGTCGAAATATCTCGTGCTTCTTCACAGAATATGAGAAAGAATGCTTCCGATCAGCGACCAGAAAGCTAATTCGAATTCAAATCAAGTGATCAAGCCTGACAACAAGAAGGTACGTGCCGTCGATTGTCTCATCATAGGGATCCCTCTCTCTCTCTGGGCCCTCGCCAACGGAGCTCCCTCGCTCCGGCTAGACGCTCCCCGCACCAAACCGAGAGTCTGAAAGGGGCCGAGGGCACCAAACTCCTATTCCATCCACTATGTTCCGATAGGTTTCTGCGCTGTTGGCAGGACTCCGGAAAAGTGTTTCCATCAGTCCTGATCCTTTGTCCGCTAGAGCTCCATCGTTGCGCTGGATCAAAAGCTGCAAAGATATTCTGCATGAAGTTTTGTGCCAGTTGTGACGAGTGAGAGTTCTGCACCCGAGTACAGGTATGTTCCCCTCCGGGCTAGATGGGGGAAGGGCGACCGGAGAATGATGGAATCTTCAAGGCGCAGCGGGCGGGGAAGAGATCGATCAGAGACTGGGGTTTCTCTCATTCTCTGCTGAGGTGTCTCTCGCTCAACCCCAAGTTGTGTTTCTTATTACATGATCCACCCGGACAGGCTGTAAGCGGAAAAAATAGCAGTTCCCGGGCGATCGTTCTCAGAGCTCGAACCGCCTCTCCATCAAATTGAAATGTATACCCGGCCAACGGGATTCGAACACCGGACACATCCCTGGCAACCTGATGCGAAACCGCCATCTATTTGCTTGGATCGAGCATCCTTGAAGCTCTGCGAGAGAGTATCGTACGCCCTCGTACATGATTCTGTTGTCGTTTCGCGGGGGTCGTGCGTGGTCGGAAAAACGCACTCGCTTCCCCAGCTACATCTGACCCAACAAGCCGATACGACCTCATGTCCGTATGGTGTCGTATTCCGATCCGATCACATAGCGGAAGGTCCGAATTCTCAACACCGAATCCCCCCCTCCCGCCGGAATCCGTGCAGGCCAGCAGTATCCCCTCCAGGCCTGGGGACTTGTCTTTTCTTCTGGATTTTCCCACCCTGCTCGACTCATTCTTGCGGATACTTACTCCCCCGAATATCTTGCGACACCTCAGATACGGCATATAATCGTGTCGGTCATCCAAGACGCCAAGAGAAGCCTGATACAATCAAATTGGGGCTTCCGATTGTTTTTACAGCAAGAAGCCCGTTGTGTTCGAGAGCATGCTCCACGAGGGCGGATGCAAGCTGTGGTCAGAGAAAAAATCTCCGGTACACTGAACTGTCCCTTGATGGACATTTCATTCAAATGAAACCTTCCACATCCTGGCGAGCGTTCCCGATAGTGCGGCGCTCCGGGCCTCAATCCATTTCATATGCAAATGGAGAGGAAGGCTATACTAGGTGATCACCACTCAACGCCTCCGATGCGTCGAAGGCGTCATTCTCCTCCGGAGAAGCGGATACTCCAGAGGAGCTCATGGAACCCTGCTCCCCTACGTGTAGCTTGTGTCGAGCGGATTCGGCTTCGTGCCGCTTTTCGGAAACGCTATCATGCCTTATCGAGGAACTGACGCTTGTTCTCGCCGTAACCGTAGCAAATTTTACAGATAATGTCTTCATAATGTTTCGAGTTCAGGCCTTCTTGATCAGCCTGAGCTTGTTTTCCGTACCATGTTCGAGCCAAGAAGATCCCATGACGTTGTGGCAGCGAGAGCGGGACAACAGATACTCGTTCAACTCCCTCGATGAATCCGGGAACGTCACAGGACCTAGCAACGACCAAGTGTAAGCGTGTCGGCGATGCCGAGGGAGGTGTTCAGGACGGAACTTGTGATCCAATCGGGAAGATCCTAATTGTCGGAATATACTAGGTACTCATTGAAACCCGACGGACTGCATGCGCCTCTTCCCTGATTATTGGTTGAATGGCAATGATTTCAAAAGTGCATTGAGCGTCTGTCGGTGGACGAGTGTTTCGTGAACAGGAACATGTCAGCGACGCTCAGAAAATCGACACCGAAGCCTCCCGCAAGATGCTGTAGAGAAAAAGATTGATCCGCCTGGGAGATTTCCATCGCGCTTTGCTACGCCCGGATTCACAGTGAGGGAGCTTGAGACGTCATTGAAACGCTTATGAGAAAATTTTGTTGCTTCGGATAGAAAACCCTAGTTTGCGGCCCGCAATACGACGCGTGTCCCGCTCAACGCCTCAGATGGAAATCAATCCGGGCCAACGACTTGTTTCGCTGTCGCCCGGAATTCGTCTATGGATGACATTCAGATTACCAGAGTCATAAGCACCCATCGTCGTCGTCGGGGAGTCAAGTCGTCAGTCCTCAACGGGGAAGCTCTCAGAAACCAAATCCGGATTACCATAGCGAGCCGATAACGCGAAAATCTCTCCCAAAATTAGGAGAAGCTCGAATGAGGGCGACTCGCGCTCTTGTCCGATCTGTCTGTTCAGTTGCCTTTAGGTAAACTAAGCCTGACTCGAGCACGATTGTTTCGATCCCAGCCTCGTAGCGTGGTCCGTTTCATTAAGTGCGGCCGTCGAATCGACCGATCGCCAGCGCCGTCAACGCGGTCTCATAGAGTTTCCGAAGCATTTGCATCCGTCGATTCCACCAGAGTTCACGAACGGCGCGATTTGAGTTTCGCGAATTTCTTGAAGCCTTTCATGGAAAACGCTGTCGTTGATATGGTTGATTTTCGCTCGATCCATTCGAAGAGAGGATCAGATGGTTTGCACGTCGACTCGCACCGTGAGAAAAGAGTTTTCGACTTTTTCTCTCCTTTTCAACCCAGCCATGAGAACAATGTTTAGACGAACTAATATCGAATTGTTATCGCCCTTCTCACGAGGTGAATCGTCGGAGTCACCCACGAATTGAATGTTACAAGACCGATCGAGGGGGAGGGGAGACACAAGTTGCTGACGGGTAAAATTAATTCTGAAACCGATCACTGCTAATCTCATCATGCCGCGGGCTGCTTAAGCGAAGTCACGCACGACATCTCGCACGGTAGTCACTGAACGCAGGGAGACAGGCGTTCATCTAATTCTTTTGTCTCGATTCCGCGGAGATTTTTCTCAAGGAGAAAGGAGACCGTCTTGGTCGAGTCGGGGATCCCGGGAGCGGAGGAATGTTTTTCGATATTGTTCGACGAGAAGAGAAAACAGCCGCCCGTATGAGAATAAGCGTGTACGTACTCTGATCATCGGAGAAATCCACTCGAGAACGCCGGAAACACGACACAATCACTCAGATACGGAAGACATCAGCAGAAGGAGGAACAATTTAATTGTTCGAATACCCTCGTCGAGCGGCGAATAAGCCAACACGATAAATCTGGCAAACGTGCGAATGATAGAATAAGTCCGAAATTCCGCTCAACATCGAATGCTTGTCTGCTTCCCACCCGAATCGATGCATGTAAATCACGGCTCAATTAGGCGATGATGGCGATGGACCGAACGGCTACATTCTCCAGTCGCCTAATCTCTCCCGTCGCGTCGGAAAATTTGCAGCCGGACGATCTGATTCCCGCGGTGACGAGTAATAATTAAATATATTGTTCGTGAACATCGAGCCGCTGTGACTCGCGCCGCGCTCGATTTTCTGGTCCTCCCGTGTTTGACAAAGACCAAAGATTTTTCGGTGACAGCTGCTTATCATCGAATGGGCATTCAAGTTGTTGCGGCTGCCCCGGTTCCGGCGGTTCTTCTGTGGTTACGGAAAAAAGGCTTCGGTCCACCACCAGTCGAGTGCGGATTCAACGAGGCAAAACTTCGCCCTCACACACACACACGCCGCCAACGACCGCTGGCTACAATTTAGATCGGGGCTCGTTTCCCCGAGCTTCCTGAATGAAATTGACGTGAGCTCTTCACTCAACGAGCTACGTTACTCCATCATTTAAACATTCGGGCACGCTTGCTCCGGTGAGATTTCTGACACGACTGAAAGGCGGCCGGTCGGATCACAACATTCATCGGATCGTAATGCATATAATCGAGGGTGGTCTTTTTTGTTCACAAGTAGCTCGAACTCGCACCGAAGGAAGATCAAAGCATGACGAGTCACGCACTGCAACTTGAGATTGTACTCTACAATACGTGCCGATTTCCAGAGATAGACAATGATGATCATTATCATACAATACGCTCGCGATTTCCCTCAGGAAATTTTTGGTGCTCGCTTCAAACACCGTGAGACCAGGACAAATCTTCCGTGTGCATGTGCATCTGATAAAGTCGCCGTATGCTCTCGTTATCCGCTCGTCGCTGTCATGCGATGGGGCCGAGGTGGCGGCTGCCCTCGAGGAGCTCGACGCCGGCATGAGTACTGTTATGCTTCTTCAGGTGAGCATATTTGCTGAAGAAGTTTATCGATTCACATTATCGGGACCATTCTCACCAAATGTCACATCACTCGTCGAATTGATTATTCTCATCTCTGGTCTGATGGAGTGGGCGGAGCCTACCTACACATACAGTAGACGCCGATAACTCAGACGGTAAGGTGTTCGGAACGGATATTGGGCAGAGTTCCTAGCGGAAGCGTGCGTGCGACTCATTAGGTTCAGATCGAGTCGCGAACACTATCCTTCATCGCTTCTGTGTGAATAGAAGCCCTTCGCCTGTCGAGCTCGTGCGTGCCAGGGCTAGCGTTCCGTGGGTGACCGGTCGCGACGCGAATGCTCGAGCAGCGCGCCGCCAAGACTCGGCCCGTGTCACTTGTTGGAACAGCAGCTACTCGTCTTCACCTTAGAAGCGGGAAGTCTATCCGGTCGCAGATAGTCATCACGAGACTTGATCCTACGAGCTGTTGATTCAGAAAGCGTTCACTCTGATTTCCTCACTTATAATTTTGCGTTCAGAGATGGACAGTGGTTTGATGCGACTCCCCCTGTCCCCTCAGGTACCAGAAAGTTCGAAATCCGGGCGGTACATCTTCCGTGCTCAAGGAAACACCGGCGGTGCTCTAGGAGGCACCGCTTTCTGGGAGGAAAGAGAAATATATTTCAGACCTCAATTTCTTACAATCCTGATCCAGACTTCGCAACTGGTCTACAACATCGAACAGAAAAGTATGTATTCCGGTCGAACATCAATGCAACTGCGCCAAATGAATGTCTTCGAGGAATCTAGAGTCATTCTTTGAGAGGTTTCTACGAGAATTTCCGCGAGAGAGCGTCTATTCCGACCGCGTGATGTGCCCACAAATGATCTACTTGTATTAATATCACGGGGAGGGCCCCCCGCCCTAGAGACCCTGAAATCCTCTCACGGAATGCTTCGATCAAACTTCACCCGACTGTGCAATTTGTGTAGATGATCCTCGTGTGTGCGAGTGTCCGTCTGTCTTTCTGAGTGTTTGCCGCCCGCTATGATCGGCTTCGTGTTCGAAACCATTGAGGACGAGGCGCTTTATGTAACTTGTTGGCTTCCTCACAGTTGGCGCCCGCATAGTCCTCCTGACCACAGAACTGAAACCCTACGAGGATCCAATCGACGTCTATCTTCTGGTCGGTGTTATATATATGATGATAAAGCCGCATAGAATGAGAATGGCTCCGATATTCGTCCGGAGAGTGTTGGTATTCCATAAATCTCCCGTTCCGCAGGATTCGCGAGGCATCATTATGAAACGCTGGACATCGCGATATCCGTACCTGGGTGTCGTGAGCATATCGTTCACGTTGCCCGAGGAATACGAAGCCGGCTGGTGGACGATACGAGCACAGGTCCTGAATCAGGTCGAAGAGAAACGAATTCTGTTAGAGAGATGGTACACCGAGCGATTCGATGTCTATGTATCGATGCCGCCCTACGCATTGACGTCCGATGAATATTTCGAGGGGGATATATCAGCGAATTTCACCGCCGTAGCGCCTACGTACGGCAATCTCACCGTACGAGTGATACTCAAACCCTTCAGCGCTTCTACCAAATCCAGGAAACCTATAGCCTTGCTCGATAAGTTCATCGAGGACTACGTACACGATGTGAGTTGCTACAGAAGCTCGAGTTCCGCCCAGAACGAACGATATCGTAACGGTTTCACCTCGAAAACGCGGCTCATTCAGCGAATGTCTTCGCCCTGCAGTTCCGGGGAGCCCATCATTTCAGGTACTCGATGAGAACCTTAGAATCCCTTGCTCTGCCCTACCGTCTATCGGACTGCGAAGTCGAAGTTCATGCGAGCGTCGGTGAACGTTACATCGACGTGATCGTCGACGGCTTCTCCAAAGCTAGAATCGTCAACGATTCCATATCGGTGTACATACTGGGTGATAAACCCCTGACATTCAAGCCCGGCATGGAGTTCGTCTTCTACGTACGTCTGAAATTCCGAAAATCAGCCGTCCCGATAACCATTTGGTCGAAGTCGAATGTTCCGTTTTTTCGGCGAGATGCTCACCGTGAGAATTCTCGCCAGGTTCAAGTTAGCTACAACAATCACGTGAAGCTGCCCGAGGATCGCTTGAGGGACGCCAACGTGTCTGTCACGCTCTCGGCTACCGGGGATTACGGTCGCCGCGAGATGAGATACCGCGATCACATTCTGGATTCGAATGGAGTGGCGAAGATACGTGACATGGTCCCGGAGAAGACCGATCGAGTGATCATACGAGTGAGTAGCCCCCCCCCCCCTTTGAGTAAAAGCATCCTCGACTCTCGGAGTCTCAGAGGAGTTCCGGACAACTTGGCTGATTCTATGTCGAACGTTGACGATGCTCTCCTCAACAGGCAGTCTTCACACTCGATGATTCGAGGACGGCATCTGCGGAAGAGATCATGGTCGCCTTTCACCGGCCTGACAATCGTCAGCTTCAAATATCAACCAGCACGACGGATGGCGTGGTACGAGAAGTCGGACTGCGACATAGGTCTCGTGATGATTTGGGCGATCTCCTAAGCAGATTCTCTTCTAGGCCGGCGAATACGCCATACTTCATGTCCGGTCAAACTTCAATCTGGAATACTTCTATTACTTGGTAGGTGATTCAAGGAGCCCGTCGAGGAATGCATTTCCACTTTCACATAGAGAGGAGAACTTGTATGATACAATCATCCCTCGAACCGAATTTTTTCCAGACAATATCGAAGGGAACAGTGCTCCAACACGGCAAGAAAACCGTTCTGGGTCTGGACCATACCGCGACTACGTTCGCTCTGCCCTTGAGCCCCGAGATGTCGCCCTCATTACGAGTCGTAGTTTATTTCGTGGATGAATCGAAGGACGAACTCATTTCGGACTCGATAAGCATTCCCGTACGAGGCATCAACAGAGGCAGTGTGAGCGATTCCTTAACAATCGATTTTTCGCTGCTTTGCCGTCGAAGTAAATTTCGGATGTATTCTTCATGGAGTTCGATCTAATCGCTCTTTTTTGCAGTTCCGTATATGGATAAACAAACAACAGGATAGGCGGGGAGACTTGGTTGAAGTTGTGGCAAACTATACCACCGAAGCGATCGTGTGCTCTACCAGCTTGGACACGGACTTGATCGCGAATCAAGGTCGGAACGATATAACTCCCACGGGCGTGGTCCGAGCCCTTCATCGAATGGAGACCAATGGCACTTCTCTCGTCGGCGGTGTAGCCAGGGACCCTGACGGCGGATCAGACGAGCTATTCTTCTATGCAACGCCGAACTCCGCTGTAGATTCCAACTCTACTTTCACAGTGAGTTCTCGTAGATATCCTGTTCTTTACTTTTTCCCTGTGATATTCCGGGTATTTGAGGCGGATACACATGATCGCTTCCGGAGACGAATGAACATTGAGAGCATCCGTTCAGTCCGCAGGCTTGGTCATTTTCACTAATCTCTACGTGGCCCAAGTGCTCGATACGTCGTGCAATACGACGGGGAAACTGGCTTGCAAGACCGGACTGCATTGCTACTTGCCGATCGAGAGGTGAGCAGCGTCCCGAAAGACGCCATCGGGACCAACTTCACAATGTCATCGCATTAGCGAATTTCCCATTTTCCGAACCATATGAGGCTGAAGTTGCATTGCTCTCCGTGTGCAGATGCGACGGATATCGGCAGTGCGAGGATGGCTCTGACGAGTCCGGTTGCGAAGACATACTCGCCGATGATGAAGATTCCTTCATCTTCCACGTCTACCGCAGGAATCGGTTCAATAACTTCTTCGATGCCACAGGCAGCATGTTTGGTTATCATGATATATTCATGGGGTAAGTACTTTGAGTCGAGCTCCGCTCTCTCTTCCGGTCGTATTCACAATGCAAAAAGCTGATCCTCGGGCCACATCGGGTTCGAATTCCCACATTCGCGTTCCAGGAATCTACGACAAATTTTCACAAAGACTCAAGTCCCGAAAGCGGCGACTCTCTACCACGTGAACGCTATCGCCGTCAGTAAGCAATTCGGCTTCCAAGTGCTTGAAGCTCCCGTGCTGGTGAGTTCCGACGATCTCATCTGATGTTTCGTGAAAACCTAGCCCAGTATGTGACTCAGCTTCCACGATTCAGCACGACAGCACTCGGCCATTCTTCATGACCACCGAGGCGCCCGGTGAGGCGGTTCTCGGTGAGCAAATCGGGCTTCGCGTATTCCTCTTCAACTATCAGCATTTCGAAATTCAAGCCGAACTCATTCTCCACGATTCCGACGACTATCGATTCGTACACGTGGAGTCTTTCGGCGTTGTCAACGCATACAAGCCCAGAACGAGCCGCGGAAATCATCAGCATGTCGTTTTTGTGAGTCGTGTTCGGTCCCTTTGTTCAGCATATGATGATGATGATCAGACATGATTTATGATTCCTAAATCGATTCCGATAGATCAAAGCGTGGCAGCATATTATCATTCATGTGCCCGTCGTGGCAAGTCGGGTCGGCGAAGTTACATTCAAACTCACCGGGAGAACTCAAGTGGCAAACGAAGAAGCGGAGATCACAATAAATTTCCTACCTGAGGGGGTTCCCCTGCAAATGCATCTCGCCATGATGTTCGACATGCGAGCGATCAGCAAAAATCTCAAATACTTCGACTTTAACATTACGGACACGCCGATCATTCCGTTTGACGAATCGCACAGGAGGTACACTTTCGATTCTCCGAGCGCTCGAATCTCGGTCATCGGTAAGTCACCCACTCAATGGGAGATCCTTGAACGGCAGCCCCCGAACAGACCCTCGCTATCAGAGAGATGACCGTCTTCATTCACAGGTGACGTCGTGGGAGCCAGTTCAGCTGACATACCTGTCGCCTTGGGGGAATTCGGTTTCGCAACGGGAGTTCAGTCGGGAGAACACGCTTTATTCGATTTCGGCTATCATCTGGCTGTACTCCACTATTTGAGGCTCACCAACCAGATGGAAACTGACACGTCGAGGAAGCTCTTCGAGCACTTGAACCAGGTTCTAGTCGATCAGACAGGGTACATCCGAGATGGCGCCTTCACCATGTTCAAGGACCGACCAAGCGTCTGGTAATTCATTCTTAGTTCCTTCGGTCTGGAGTCTTCAGGAAACGAATGATCCCGTGGAACCCCCTCGTTCTCGAAATCCTGGAACTTCCAGCATAAAGTCACTCGCCTTACCTAATCGACATTGAACCCTTCCAACACGACAGGCTAACCGCTCTCGCTGCCAAAATTTATCGTCAAGCCATATTCCCTGACTGGGAGTTCAGATTGTTGTACATCGATACCGCTCTGGTTGAAAACTCGGTTCGATTCCTACTGCGACACCAGGATCCTCATGCAGGATTCTTCTACGAGGACAATGGTGCCCTGCATAATCGCCGACATCGAGCCTTCGTGAGTTTCGGCCGGACGGATCCTTATGAGGATTTGAAGGAGGGGGGGGGTTGGCGTAAACACTTACAATTTCATTCACTCACTCCTGCCGCGGTTCTGTAGATGTTGGATGATCAACGGCAGCTACGCAATTTTCACAATGTGACCCTGACAGCTCACGTTTTGATTACGCTCTCGAAAGTCGCTGACGTTTTGACCGGGGTGAGTCTCAATCCACTGTCCATATTCGATTCAAAGATCAAGAACTCCATTTGAGCAATTATTCGATCTTCCCAGTCGCTGCTGGGAGAGCTAGTGATCGCTCAAAAAGCTGCCGTCGGCTACCTCGAAGAGCAGTTGCCACGGTTGAGGACATCTTCGTATCATTTGGCTATCTCCACCTACGCCTTGAAGCTAGCGGGCTCCATCCAGGCTGAGACGGGATGGATGCTGCTGCAAACACTACGTCGTGAAACAGGTTGGCATGTTCTTAGTCCTCTAGGGGTTGGAGACTTCGCGAAGAGATTCGCTCAAAGCCCGATACCGTACTGGGAGACAGAATGTTGCATCATTGCTTCCAGAGGGCATGGTCTATTGGTCGTCAGTGGACATTGGTCCCGCAACAGTCGTTTACGAAGCCCAAAGACCCTTCTACTATGCGAACATGCCAGCCGAAGACGATGCTCTCGGTGTAGAAACAACGTCGTACGCGCTCATGTTAATGATGGAATTCGGTTCGAACGAGGACGAGAGTCAGGTTGTCAGATGGCTCAACTGGATGAGATACACGGATTTCGGCTTTGTCGGCACTCAGGTTCGTGGAGAGAATGTACATGCGATTTCAGCTCCACAGCTCTGATATGAATCTCGTCCCACCGGTCGGCTCCTAACTTAAGGTTCCATCCGATTGGCAGGATACTCTACTCGCTATGGAGGCGTTGACCAAATATTCGTTCCGGACACATGTGAGGGACATCACCGATCTCAAAGTTAAGGTTCAAGCGAGCGCGAATCCCGGCAAAGTTCTCGAGCTCATCGTCAACAAAGAGAATCTTGCCCAGCGCAAGTTTGTCCAGGTCAGAAATTCAGTTTCGGAACACTTTCCCCCGGAAGTGGCGTACATTGATGTAAGCAAATTATTCAACAGCTCACAACGTATCCTTTCACTGGCAGGTCAAGCCCCCGGTTTACGGTCAAGCTGAGATTCATGCCGAAGGGGCCGGCTTAGCGATCGTGCAGATGGACGTCACCTACAACGTAGATCGTGATTATCTATTGGTTCCCCCCGCACAGGATGCTTTCGATCTGAGAGTTGAAACATTGTTCTGGGGGCGCAACAAATCGCACATTGAAGTCAGGACGTGTGCCAAGTGAGTGACGAAAACCGACCAGGGGCGAGCCCAATCGGTGCCGACAATTTTCGGAGGCGCCACGGCCCTCTTGGCCCTTAGTGGGCACGCTACTGTACACAATGAACTGGAATGATTGGAACGATAACTCAAGTATCATTGGAGATGGACGAGCTCTTGTAGTCGGCGGGGCTGGATCCCGGACTATCGGAATAACTCCGGATTTTCTTCGTACAGGTGGATCTTGACCCGAGTGTCGAATTTCAGCGGGGCTGCTGTAGTTGAAGTTATAGTTCCCACTGGATACTTCCATCATCGACCCATAATTGATCGATACGTCAAATACGGGGATCAACCACGACTCAAAAGAGCTTTCATAGCGCCTAGGTTCGAAGAGCTTCAATGATATGACATATGACTTAGCAACAACAGGCTTAGGTTGCGGTGATCGAATGTGATCGAATATTACGATTTCCCTAAGAGAGCAAACGACCTCTATTCTAGATCCGCTGTGTTCATGTTCGACACAATCCCAGCATATGACTGGACGTGTTTCAAATTCCGTATGGAGCGATGGTTCCCTGTTGCTAACGCGACGAGATATCTGAAAGCCAAAGTTTATGAATACAACGCACCCGGTGAGAAATCTGATATGTACTGGGCACATGAGAAAGTAGTGCCTGATCCAAATATCGGCTCGATGAATCTTATTTGATTAGGTATATCGAGAATATTCCAGGATGTCGAACGTTTCTTCTAAAATGTCTAAACTCCCGCATTTCAGAAAACTATAAAGAAAAGATTTTTGAGACCATGGATATATGGGTTCAGAACATCTGTGATGTTTGCGGTTCCTATCAGTGTCCGTATTGTCCCTTCTTCAGCGGCTGTCCTACGAATGTCGTGATTCCACTATACGTGACCGTGGCCAGCCTACTTTTCATCATGTTCCAAGAAACTATGATTCTTCGTACAGACTGAAACCCGAAATACTTGCCGGAGAGATTATCGAATCATCTACTTCAGAGCCTATTTCTCCGAAAGTCCCAATTTTCGGTGGACTACGACGTGCCGCGGGCAGCGCATTCCTATCTTGAAGAATAAACATGTCCCTCTTTTGATACTGGGCTTGCATTCCATATTGGTAGCCTGGCGAGATTAAGCTGATTTTTTCCAGGAGTAGACATCACCGGAATCCGGTTGGGGCTGTCTCCTCAGTTTGGCAAAGTATGCATAGACAATGTAAGCCGGAGAGAGATTTCCAAAACGGATTTACGATCCCTGACGAACGACTTCCTCCATACACAAGAGACTCGTTTGGATATAAGGAGCAGTATCGAATCCAATCCAGGATCTTCGGATTTTCTTGCCAGAATGCGTGCTCCTCTCGCGGGCGTCTTCCTTCTCGGAGCGTGTGCTGCAGCCCAGAAAGGGACGGGGTTCGGGAACGCGACGCCAGACATTGCTGGGGACGCGACTACCGCATCTTCGATAGCGACCCTTGTTCCACAGGTCTCAGAGTTCAAGTGCCCCGACAGCATCGGCTGGTATCCACACCCAAGCAATTGCAGTCGCTTTATCATTTGCTCCGAATGGACGCCCTTCGCGTACAACTGCCCGCTGGGTCTTCATTTTTCGGCTGCGAAACTCCGATGTGAATGGCCTCATCTGGCGAAATGCTACTCCACTTCCGAGGTTAGGAAATCGATTCAAACAGCCGTCGGTATATTTCTGCACCTCGACAACTTCGCTGAACTGACTGAGAGAGATATCATGCTTGACCCGGAGCCCGAATTGCAGGCTTCACCAGACACTATTACCCCGCAACCCGCCTCGGGGGCCGAGATCGTCGAGAGCTCCGTCTCTCCAGAAGAGACAATTCCAGAGTCCGATACAACCACTCAGCTATCGCTTGCTGACGGCACACCGCTCGGAATTCATGCTTCCCCCGGATGTCCGCCGCTAGATGGAGACGAGGATCTCCACGACTCTCTGAGGTGGCGACGCTGGGAATACGGTGAAACCATGCCTAGAGATATTCTCAAGGTGGGCGAACGCTCGTTCGAGACGAGCTCGGGTCGGATCACTGGACAGTTTGCAGCGATCGTTCGCGTTTTCTACAATGGCACCTCGTACTTCGGCACGACGATCGGCCCGAGTAGATTTGCAAATAGTGGCATCTACTTCGCTCACAATGGACAAATCGCTGAGAGGAACTACGAGTTCGTTCAAGTGAGATATAGAGAGCAACAGAGAACCCATTTTCGCCCATCCGCGGAGATAATTTCCGGAAATTGGAATTTCATGGAGTCTCTTTCCAGATATTGTGTGTCGGCTCCACCATGGAAAATGGTCTGGCTTGGGTCCAATCGAGCAAAGGATCCTGCGCTCCTCAAAACGCCGTGGTGATAGACAGAGAATTCCTCGTAGCACGTGCAGTTCACGACTCGGAAAACGGCTTAGTCATCGCATCTGGCGTGAAACAAGGCGAATCGCTGATTACCGCTTTCAAATCGATCCGAGACCATGACGTGTACGAAGTGCTAGTTAAGAGACTCAATTGAAGTATCGAGTGTTTTCTGAGAAGGTCTCTGTGTCTCCTGAATCGGATATCGAGGTCACGAGTTTTGTCTCCGGTGGTTTCGATAACTGCGCATCAGTCGTGAGGGCGTCAACAGCCCACTCGCAGCCTCATCAATAAACCAAGGAAAAAGGAAAGGAGCAAGACCAGGTGTGTCATCAATATCCCCGGGAGAGCCACCCGGAAATCCACGGGTGATTCCGGGAGCCTGCCAGGCTGACCCTGAGTCTTGCGAATTCTTAATTTCAACAAGTGTACGCCCCTGAATCTGATCGGTATAAGCAGTGTTCATTCTCGGTCTCAGGGATTCTCGGACGCATCCGAAGAAGAAAGCAGGATATTTTTTATGGCATTTATTAGAGCTTTCCAGAGAGAAGAGAAACAGCTTTCCTCCTTCCCATGTAGCGAAGTCGGACTCGCCTGTCGCGAACGTTCTTTCAGAATGAATTTGGCACCGTCATCAGCCTCATGATTCTTGAACGACGAGCTGTCAAACGTTATAGGTAGTTCTATCGTCGTGATTTCATCTCAGTGGCGGGGAAGAGACAATCTGAGGCGGGTTCCCTAGACTGATCTGGATTCTCTTTCGAATTTCGAACGAATTGCTCGGGATGAGTTGGATCTGTGTGCGATTCATGGGGAGCGTTAAGCGATTCATTCTGAAGGTTCTGCGTGCGACGACTTGCTGGACAGCTCGGAGTCTCTCAACGTCCTGACGGGCTCTTTCAACAGTTTGTTCCTCGCCTCGGGCTTTATTTGACAACGATTTTCTGTTGTATTTGGCTTATATACAAAATGCAACTTGGTAGCCAAGTCCTCCGCCAAACACAAGCAGGTAATTATTCTCTCATAATCACCAGTGGTTTCCTTGAGATTATTCCGCTATATACATGATGAACCACCGAAAATATTTCTAACATCAATTCCAACGTATTATCTCTGGTAATAGTTGAAGTCATCTAGCGAAACCAAGCAGAGATGGACCCGAAGAAAATCGACGATTTCTGTTGACCATCTCTGGAACACAGTCTCATAACCCAGCTGATCTCTCAGCTGCGTTCAACATTGAAGGAATACGTAGAGAATATTTTGATCTTAATTGCATCCGGACAGAACCCATCTAAACAAGACGAGATCGCCGGTCTCCGTCAGGAAGGAACATAAAAGATAAGTTTCGCCGCTGATCTACTTTTCCGTATCTTCAGTGGTCTCTTGCCGAAAAAATACTTCCTTCCCCTCACGCAGTCAGAATATACTGCTTAGGTGTTTGGTATTCGTCGTCGAAGCAAGAAAACTTGCTCGACTATCTAGGAAATTAAATTACCATCTCGAAACTTACTACCCGTCCAACATTGCTCAAGGTCAACAAGAACAGACCGACATCGGATTGCACAAATCAAGCGGAGAATTCCCCCATTTCAACAGAACAGACCGTGCCCCCCTCATCTTGTCATTGCTTAAATTATGCTTAATACTTCTGGAAGGAGTTCTCCGGTCCCCTCCCTGTTTTCGAGGACAGATCCTCGATGGAAGTTCCACGACGAACGACACGGCGTGTCGAGTGTTGAAAACGGAGGAGGCTTCCGCGACTCGAACGAATGACGGAAGCCTTCTCCCTACGCGCTACGTTTGGGCTATATCTAACATCGTCCGACTCCGCCCCTTGCGCGAGACACAATGCTGTAGTATTCCCGTTTTCTTCACATGAGAGCCCCCTTCCTCATGTTACGCATCGAGCTTACGGTGCCTATCGGGCGTCGTCTTCCTGCGTTTATCTGCAGTAGAGGGTTCGGAGTTCGAGCAAGGGGCATTCGCATCGCCGGCGTTAACGTAGGAGCGTTGCCGGTCCCGAAACCAGGCATTGGTAACGGTGACCACGTGGTGGGCTGACCAGCCGCGGAGCCGATCGGAGTCGTCGAGCAGATCGCGGTTACCGACGGTAACGACGGCGACGACAAACACGAATTTGTGACACGCGTGCTTGTCATAGTACCTGACATAGAACTGCTGTCGACGATCGGAATGACCGAAGTGATGGTGTCTGGAATTGCATCGATGCGTTATTCGAAACTGGGGCTTCCGACGCTCGGCTCAGAGGATCTATGATTGATGGAATGAATCCGAATAATTTCGTGAATGAGAAATAATTGCGCATTATGAAGCCATCGAACTGCTCACCAGTCAATGTGGAAGTTGTGGTTACTGTCGTCGTCAGCCTCACGCCGGAATCAGTTGTGCGGTCGCTGTTTCCGTTTCCGTCGGAGACGAAACCCTGGAAGGGCCATTGCACTAAGCGAGACAGTTTCGATACCAGTCCTTGCGCGTCGAGTTCCTGACTCCCTCGCTTGCTTCTCCTGAGCGATTCTCTACGAACGGCAGCCGACTCCAACGGCGAAGACTTTCCGTCGACGCGGTACGCCCTCAGCACGACGCCTTTGGCCCGGTTCTCACGAACGAGGTTAGGCATCAGCGCGTCGAGTTCGTCGTTGTCAGGGACGTCTTCTTCGGGAGGAGTTCCCGGAGGAGTTTGATCAGGAGAAGGGGCAGGAGTGGACGTTGCTGTGGAGAAAGGGGAATGTTTAAGATCACCGTTCCGGGATTCCGTGGGGTGGGAAATTTCAGGAAGGGATCTAAAATAAAGCGTCAGTCTATGACACGGGAAGCCACGGTGACTCGTACCGGTTTTTTCCTCGTCATCTTCGCTTCTCTCACGAAGAACCGAAGGCAGCATCGCATGTATTCCTCGCTCGTTTAGGATTCGAGCGAGTCCTCTGTTCACGCTGCACGTTGTTGTGGCGAGTAAACTCGATCGATTTATCACACTAGGAGTCGTTTGCACGGGTGATCGATTCCTACCGGCGCTGATCGCCATTTTCGTCAAGCCCAGACTCGGAGTTGTATGCGTCGAGTCTGGGTGCAAGACGTTTGAGTTCGAATAAGTGTAAATGCACGAGCTATCAACGAAACTCTTGCCCGGGAAATTTTGAGGCGATTCTTCAGCTCTGTCGATCTCTTCAAGGAAAGATGTTATGTCCAGCGAGGACGGTGGTTTAGGCGAATTATCCTTCGGAAGACTCGGTAGAGATTTGGGCACCGCCCGGGTCTTGATGCCTTCAGTCTCCTCTGCGAGTCCTATCAGACCTAGAGGAGTCGGAGTTGCCAGCCGTCTCCATCTGTGGAGCGTCCTGGAGCCTTCGAGGCGCTTGATGAGGTCGAGTTTATCTGAAAACGAGATATAATATATTCGTCTATTCTCGTAACCTATTCAGAAGCCCCGACAAACTATTGGTTCATCCGAGTTGATTACCTCGACATTGTCCTCGACCGACTCACTCACCTGGCATTCGGTATCTACGCATACTCGAAGTGGTAGACCCGCTGCTGAAGCCGTTGAACCCACTCAAGATGGAGTCTGGCGTTCGGCATCTGGACGTGGAATCTTCGTCCAGTTCGTAGAAACTCCTCGAGTGCGACATCGTTCCTCTCATTGGAGAGTTCAGATCCAGTCCCAGAGGGTGCTTGCCACAAACGGGATTCAGACCTATGCTACTCAACGACCTAGAAAGTCATAAGGAGCAAAGTGTTACCACAAACACAGGAAGCTCGGGTCAGACAGATCCCTCGAAAGATCAGATCAGAAATCAAGAATGTCCACAGTGAAAGCCCCGTCAGTTTCCAAGTGGAAACGAGAACCTCGCGCGCGAGTGGATTGGTATCGAGCCCGATTCAGTGTGAAAGGCAGACCGCGGGCTCGATATCGACCGGCTCCGCCCCTGCGAGGGTGTTTCCAGAACGCCCGATCCTCGAGATCGCGAAGCCCCATTATTATTGCCGAGCAAGGCTCCCCACCAGATGCGAGCATGGGTCGACTCGATTCCCTCGTCTGCCGTCTAGTTTTCTAGTTTACAGAAGCAGAGGCGAAACGAGAAGCAGTGATCGAGCAAGTGGAATTAAACAGATTGTCAGGAGCCGGAGTCGATCGGGTTAGGCGTGAGCTGAGCAATGGTGAAATATCATGCAGCCTGTCGGAAGTACAGCATTCAGGGGAACCCCGTTATGCGGCATGCAGGGTTGAAAACATGGACGTAAAATAATAGATCAACACATTTTATTAAATGAGTTTCGATCAGAAACAATGATATGGCGGAAATGTTCACATGTTGGTTCAAGAGATCATCTCACTTTTGGCTGAGCGCACCTGCAAGGTTCGCCACAGGCATGGAATACGTGTATTTCGGTCATAGACCAAAGAAACACATTCGACTCGATAAAATTTACAAGGAGACTCACTTCACGGTTCAAACTCGAGCTCCTCTCTCTTTAAAAGATGAACCGATTCCATCGAGAACTCGATGGTGAAACGACTAGCGCCAAGCTCCGGGGTCTGTGAACAGACGCGTCTAGGAAGAGACGAATCGCCTCCGACAGCTATTTGAAAGTTTGGCCGAGAGACTCATAGATCAAAGTATCATCTCTGCTCTGACCTCCGGCGCAGATAATCAGGACTTCAGGGAGGTATTCCGTAAAGACATTGTCTGACTGAGCGAGACAGGTAGAAAGCTCTCCCATTCACCGATGGCGCTATCTGATCTACATAATCGGATCATCTCGCATCGATGTGCGTTGAGCAGAGGCGAGATTGCGATGGGAATGTTTATAGTGGCTTCAGCAATCGGAATCAGACCTTTCGCCCCGAGAAAACCAAAGAGGAGAGCCTCCGTTGCTCAGGGAAGCGACTTCGTGGCGTCAGAGCTCATCGCCTCGGTATTCGCGCATCCGGATCTCTTCATCGCGACTCCGGTGCCAAAGCCATGGATCATCAAGCTCGAAAGAATGCTCCTGCTTGTGACATGATGACAGGGAAGGCTCACTGTGGACTAATTGTGTGGAGCCACGACTCTATCCGGATGAGCAAACATCGTGCTATGAACAAACGCAGTGTTTTTCACAAAAACCGAATCTAAGCACTCAGGCAGGAAGGCAGTGGTCTACTTGGTTGGTAGGTGGTTGACGGGTTGGGAAGGTGTATGGGTCGTTGCTGTTGAGCGGACTTTGGTGATCGGTCGCGAAGCTTTGCATGGGAGTCGACCGCTCATCGTGTTTCCAAAATTCCAACTGGTCGGACTGTCTCGCCTCTCGCCCCTTTGTTTCTCGCTCTCGCTAGTTAAATAGAATTTCGACAAGCCGTCGCAGGGGCAGAGACGTGATGATATTAACGAACAACTGCAGCGCCAGTGGAAGGCATATCAAAATTAATATCCCAAATAACCTGTAATAACAGAAAAAGCACAACTCAACAACATACAACGAGCCTAGCGATTACTAATTAGGGCCCACGAACTGACAGATCTCAATTCTCCGTGAACACGAACACGGCAATCGGAAACTCGACCACAAAACACAAAAGCAGACTGAACACAGACCGAAGATCCTGATCAATAGTCGAAATGGACAAGACAGACCACAGCCAAGGAAGGAGAGATACGAACAATGAATTGGAAATTTTCTCGATGAAAAAAAACTCGGGAACGAACCGGAGTCAATAGAGGGTAGATGATAGCCCCACAAGATGCAAAACATCCAAGATACCCTGAAAATACGCAGTTTTCGAGTGGAAGATTCGGCTGTCTCCGCTCAAAGGAGATGTCCCGAAATGATAATATAAATAAAATTTCGTCCGGGTGCAGAGCGGAATCGCGGGCCAGTCCACAAAGCCCAGTCTCGCAGATGGTACTCGTACGGCTAGAGCAGGGCCGAGTCAGGAAGATGCATGTACAGATAGATAGAGAGGGGAGTTTCTGTGGACGGGAGGCGTCGGGATGCGTGTGCGAAAGAAGCGCGGTGCAAAGAGCGGATTGCAGAGGGAAAGTTCATTTGCAGCGGCATAAGGAGAGTCGGGGATTCGACAGCGGACTTCATTCCAGGGATGGAAGTGATTTGCTCTCTAATATTCGAAGAATTGATACGTGGGATCGCGGGTGGGGTGACAGAGTTAGATCGAATTCTCCCGGTCTCACTCAGAGTGAGCTTCGTTCACGCAGAACCGAAGTGAAAGTCGGACTCCCACTTACACGGAATAACGGATCTTGCCCTGTCTGGAGTCTCTATCGGAAAACGAAAGTTCGAATTGGTGATTTGAGGATAGTTTTCTACGAAAACGAGGATCCTCTCCAATTTCTACTATTTTCAAAGCAGAAAAACAGCTACCCTTCTCAGATTGTTTCCATAATCATCGTGGGGCCGCGGTTCGTGCGGGGAACTACACGGAGCAACCAAAGGAAAGTAACTTAGCTTTAACTAGAAGCAAACATAAACCAAACTTACGAATACTGGGAATCATCGTCGGTGTGGTAACTCTCAGGGAATGAGCTTTCGCCCTCATCCGAAGTTCCGTCAAACTCGCCCGACGCAGGTCTCCGACCATTGGCCCCCGAAGAGCCGAGAGGTCGTCGAGACGGCGGACGAGGGGACGGATTCGAGGCTGACGCGGTTTGAGCTCTAAATCGTACCGGTCGGAAACAAGGGTGAACAAAATGAATGATTTGCGCGAAATCAACGAAAAAAGAAGCGCATGAGTGAGATTCTCGAACCAGGGAGCCTATGACTGAAAAGCGATGCCATCAAGTGAGGTAACACCAACCTGTCGTCCGAGTGGTATCCCTCAGAGTTATCGGTCCTCAGCGACATGGAAAGTTCAGCTGCCAAGGAATCCGGATTGATGTATTTGGTATAAGCGCCATAGGCACCCTGTGAGGAATTCTTCGTCTGAATCGACGAATGGCTAGACTGCGAATTCTGATTTTGAGTCGAGGCTGCGGTCCCTGTCTGCGCAGGCCCTCCCCGACCCCGATGCTGCATACGCTGCCTGTGCTCGAGCGTTGCCTCCGCTGTCGCAGCGCTTCTTGAAGTTCCTGCGCCAGGAAAGAAATAGAGACTTTGTAGACAATAGTTTCGTTATTTTTCGATTCAGCACGCGTTCGCACGGAGCAGAATGAGGACGCAGAGGTCGCTGTCGTTTACCTGGAAGGCACATAACAACGTGTTGTACTTGTCCCTGGCTTCACTGATCTCGATCGTGAGCTCTTGTTGCGTCTCGCCCATCACATCTAAGTTGACTCGTAGCGTTTCATTCTCGATCGAATACTCTCGCAGCTGAAAACAAGAGTTATTCTCATCAGCATTCCACACGAACTCAGATAGACACCGTGAGGAAGGGCCATATCGAATCAAAAATAATACCTTCTTCTGTAAATCCACTTGTTGACTCAGCAGCTGAGTGATCTCGTCTTGGTGCTTCAGAAGACTCTCAGTCTTTTTGGCCAACTCCTCTTGGAGCTTTGCGGCTGTTCTATTCTTCTCGTTGAGCTCTCGAACACACTCATTGATGAGCTCCGTTTCGCGTTCTTCTTCTACGGCCAAGTCTTCGGTCCACGATTGCGACTGGAAATAAATAATGGTGATTACCGAGGAAGAAGGATTCCATCGATCACAGGTGGGTTCCCGTTGCCGTTCTGGTCGTTCCTCATGAGCCGAGAGGAATGCCGAACATAATGTACTGAAGACTCGTTCAAATGAATTTACCTCGATTTTTAGCCTTTCGTTTTCATTTTCCAGCTCGTTGATCTTCTTATGAAGAAGATCCAAGCTGGCCGGAGCTTCTTCTCCGAGCAAACCCTCTTCTTCGCCCTCCATGTAAATGGAGAGCAAACTGTTCTTCTTGGTAAGATCATGTCGAAGTTGGGTGACAGTCTCCTGAGATGCTTGAAAATCTTGTTCGAGTGCCTCTATCCTCTCCTGCGGGAACGGATCGGTAGATGAGCATCAAACTCCAACAACACTTCCTCGCCGGAATTCCCCATGAAAAATGGTTCTGTTTTTTGAACATGAGAGGGAGTCAATTCGGCTAACCTGCAGCGCCCTCTTCTCTTCGAGGAGACTTTTCCCGATGTGCGCGGCGAGTTCGAGGTCCCTTTCCTTCTCCTCGAGCAGCCGGGTGAGCGCGTCTGTATCATCATACGTCCGGGTCATCTGCGTCAACCGGTCGGCACATAGAACTGGAATCAAAGTACACAACTGATTATCATGGATTCGAGCCCCCAGCAGAAGCGTTTCCACCTTGTCGGACAAGTTTACAAAGTTCGGCTGCCATGATATCAGACACCGTGGACTAGGGATAAGCCTAGCGGGACCTACGGTTTTCGAAGAAATATCGCTTTTCGATGTCGGTGACTGGGGTTTCGACAAGCATCAATCGAGCAGGACTCATCACTCGCTTGAAGGGTATCGGGCTTCCGTCGTATACTTCGTCATTAACGTAAAAATCTTCCATGGCTCTCAGTGCTTAAGGACGACTCTTCAACGGCACACTCATAAAATGACTACGAGGTTCACTCCCAAGAGGAGGCTAATGATTTTTTTTCCGTTGTGACCGGGCTTGTTTCTTAACCGTCGTCTGCGACGGTTCTATGAAACAGTTCACTCCGCAGTAACGTCTAGCGTACCGCCTCAGTTTTTCCGAGCAGATATATAACTTAAAATCGCTATGACATCTTCTGCAACGCCGCTGTCTATCGTGAAACGGATCAATGGTTTAAATTGCGAACGTCGAATCGAACGTTGGTGTCGTTCCGCTTGCCAATCCAGAGCCCTGCCCGAGACTCGGCTTCACATTTCCTACGGAGCGCGTGAGTACTCAGTCGGCTCATCACATTTCCCTTGAAGAAGAAGCTTCCGATGAGCGCCTCCCGAAATCTTCGAGAAACGATGTGAGTCGATGACAGCCACAGGAATCAGCAGCAGCAGTTGCTACGCCATGCGACCACCTCAACGGATAAGCTGAGAAATCACAAGTCATGGGGACACTTCGCCGCCGTTGTTCGCACTAGACACCGAGGAAACGTCGCTGGCTACTGTTAGAGACACCTAGAGTTTCGTGTCACGGTTTCGGAGTGTGTCTGTGGTATTGACTGGACGGAATCGAAATCGGAGATCCTCAGTTTGCGCGCGTCTTCCCAGCTGCTGCCACTGCTGTTAATGATGGCCGTTCGTGCGCTTGCTGCCTAGCAGGCAGACAGCCAGACCACCGATTCGCTGAGTGGTTTTTCGTTTCTGCCGCTGCCTCGTAGCCGTGTTTGTAAACACCAGGTTAGGCGGGGAGATCTTTCGTCGGCAGTAGGTAGAAGCCTCTCTCCTCCCCTTTCTTCGTCGTCATGTTCAGGCCGTTGTGTTCAATGCTTAGTCATCTTCATCGTCTCGACTGAAACGTCGTCCCTGTCACAGACCTGGGAGGGAGAGCATGCGCTTGAGCGAGGGGAGAGTGAGAAATACTCTTAACTCGTAACAGACCGATCTGGAGGCGATGGCGCGGGATTCAGTTCCGAGAGGGACCGTTCGCGCATAGATTCTATGAAGTCGGGGATCGCCTCCTTCCTGAGGGCACCGAGAATGGACCGCTCCTAGGAACCAATTGAGGGCTACGAGCGACGACTCGCAGCCGCGCAGCCTGAGCAGACAGCGGAGGCTGAAGTTCTCGCGTTGTACTCTCCCTTAGGAGTCGACGCATCTGTCCACGGTGCGCGGTATCCGCGAACAACACCTGATATTCGCTTTCTGAATCAGAGCCGTCGGCTCCGCACTGAGTTCAGCTGCGGAGAAGATACTTTGTCCCATGAAATCCGTAACAAGGATCCCGGGCGAGACGTCGACACCGTCAACACCGGTCGTCAGAATACGTTGATGGGGCCAGAAGCCTCGCGTTCGAACCGTACCCAACATCTGCTGGCATCAACACCACGGGTCAACGGCGCATCTGACGGAGAATCACATCTCCCGACCCGCAGAAAACGTTGTTTGCAATTCTACAGACAATGTGAGCCGTCGTCGAAAGGTTAATCCTCGCAATCGCCACTGAATGAGCGATGATTGTGAAGGAGTATAACGATGCCGTCGGCTGCATCTATCAGTGAGTCTGAGTGGGTCTTCTTTCGGACGAGGTTCCAGTGATTTCGTTCCCCATTGGCAGCGATCAGCGTCTCGACAAGAGGAGAATTTGATTGTTGGTCGAAATCAAAGCACGAGCCAGAGTTGACGTGTCGCCCAACGCTTCGGGAAAACAGGTTTCGCAAACGCCGGTTTCTTGCCGTGCGCTGTCATATACACCGAGATTTCTTATACCTAAGCGATGAGATTCGACCGCCGAAGCAACAGCTTTACTTATCGTCCCGTTCGCACGATTATGTCGTGCCCGTACATTACTCCCACGAGTAGTCAACGTTCAAGGGACGCAGATTATAAATCTTCTGAGTCCTGATTGCGGATAAAGCTTTGAACTCAGCTATCTATGAGTCTGTCTTCGCAAAATTGTACGTATGGAATATATCCGAAACCTTCAAGAAGTTCTGGATCCGGACTCCGATACGCTTTCCCACGCTAAGTGACCATGGATGTGTCTACGAGGAACAATATTTGAGAAAAGTTACTGAAGCGACTTCGAGGTACGAATCTACTGTAGTTCACTATTCACCTTGACTCCCTGACGAAAAAAAACCGCCGATCGGCAGAAATCTACCTCACGTATTTGGGACACAAGTTAGCGATACGCAAACCGCTAGATGTGAGCACGCCCCTGCTGCGCCTTTTATCAGCGTGATTTTTTTTTGAAAAACTTGAGCATTTCCTCCGAAACAAAAAGTTGATGATGTTTATCTTCCAGGTTACGCCGGCGGCTCTACCGCGAGCAAGAGACTCGATTTCGTTTTTCCGTCTGTCCCTGCCAAATTCTCGGACGGACAGAAGACGTGCGCCGATTCCAGCGTAATTCGTCATACCTGAGCTGTGTCGGAAACTTGTCCGCGGATAGTTTCCCCATATGAATTACCTAAGTCCATCTAAAGTCTCATCAGCCGCAGCGACAATCAATGTCCCAATTAGGAGAGGTAGGATGTGGTAGACTGGGACTCATGGTGCGGAGCAGAGAAACTCAGTATTCTTCCGAATCCTAGCTTTCGAGTTGAGCGAGAAAATGTTACTGCGTAACACAGCGTCCCGTCACCGCTCCCGCCTCTTGAACACCGGTTTCACGCACCATCGGCTGCAGCTCTGTAAACGGAGTTACAGAAGAATCCATCCCCTATCGAAGGGAATGAACTACTGCTGAGCGAACGGGCGCGTGGGCTTGACAACCAACGACAAAACAAACTTTGTCCTGAATGAATCGAGCAGCCAGCATGATCGAGATAGCTAGAAAGAGTCTATTCGAATTCTTCCTCTCCAGCGATGCGCCTCGCGGATTTCCATGGTTTCCTCAACATAGATCGACGAGATCGAGCAAACTTCAAGAATTCCACTTGCCTCGCCATCGGTATCCGCTTCGGCCGAACGAAAAGCGGATTGTCCGAGGGAAACAGAGGACCCGAATAGAAATCCACTCGAGAAAGCCACTCGAGTATAATTCCGGAAAATGAAGGGCTTCTCCATCTCGTCGAAGATCATGGGTCTTCGATAAGCGTTCCGGGCAGAGACGCGGTCTCGACCAGCGAGCGATGACAGCAACTCTTCAAGAAGGTTTCTGTGACGGATAGAGAGAAGCCGCAGGAGTTTTTACCTCCTTCTCATCACAGTCCTTCGACTCCGATTCCGCTGAGCGCTTGTTCAACACCCACAATGGAGACTTCTGTTTTTGGGGAAATCGCTCGGCCTTTGGTATGGAGTATTTGATAACACAGCGAAGAATGCGAAGAGAAAGCAAACAAGCTCTCGTAGTTGCCTTGCCAGAAGCAACGAGCCGTGGTTTCACAGCGGCTGATTCGCAGAAAAAAGAGACAGACCACTTAAACGTTCATCGCAGCCAAAAGCTACGCTATCAGATCTTCCGAGTGCTTACTTACACTTGTCACAGACACCATCTCGGAAGAAGTCCACCAAGTCCGGGCACTGCACAGCTAAAATATCCTTTTTGCGAATTCTTGCGAAGGCGACCTCGGTCAACTCATTGATGTCTTCACATACTTTTTCCTCCATGCTCATGCTTCGGTAGTTCTGTTCTGAGTGCTCGCACTGACCAGAGATTCTCTGTTCCACGTCCGCTCCTCCGTTACCTTTCGGTGCTACCGAACTACATCTTGGAGAGCGGTGGTCCTATCACGCGAACTAACTCAGTGTTGTCGGAATTTCGGACTTCGACTCCGCGGAATACAATTACCAACATTGGAGAAGTCGAATGAAGCACTAAAATGCTGTTCCTTCACAGATGCTCCCTGTGGTCTTGCTCTGCATCGAAATCACGCGTCAAACACCGCACAGTCGCAGTGGGGGTCGCCCCCCGACGCACACAGCATCACCACCACAAGGGTCCACATGAGACTGCGCTCTGACGAACTTCCATTCGTCGCTCATACTTTCCGCGCGAATCCTGCCATTGGCAAGGGATCCCTCACCCGGTCGCGCGGACCACCGTTACGGGCTGCGGCATGGCAACGGCCGAAAACACTCCCAAAGTCTGCGAGAGTGACCAGAGCAAATGGGCACGATTGCAAACATGGCTCCAAATTCACGATCACGGTCCCTAGCCCTTCTACCCTTGACATTTGAGACAGAGATACACCTTAGCGAAGACCGCTAAACGCATCGGTGCAGAGGAACTCGCTCGCTCAACAGGGGCTTCGAAGTTCGCATGACATTCTTTTGCGCGATCAGGAAGACCACGGACCGACTTGAACCCCCGAGCGTTCTTGGATTCTCCTCCCTGAATGTGCGGAAATCGCGACGAACCCTTCTCTAGTGAAGGAATTAGGTAAGCTCTTCCGTCCCGCATGATTCCGAACGGGAACCTGAGAATCCTTCCCAGGGTTCCAGACCGCGTAAGTCAATCTGGTTTCGAGTCGAGTCCCAAGCGTTTCATCTGCTCAGCTTTTGTGCGTGTCCGGAGCGACATGTAGGCAGGGTGGTACGCAAGCCGAGCAAATGTCGGAAGTTTCGACCACCCACCTTGATGAACCTTGTTAAAGACAACCTCATTTGGGTATTCTTCCCACATGTCACTTCAAAGAGGACTTCC